CGCACTCTCCGCGTCTGTCTCGCGCTCTATGCGTGTGTGTATGCGTTACATGTACGTGCGCTGCAGCAGTTTAGTTTTATCCGATGCGAAACTTTCTTTCTCGTGTACGCGCCAATCTACGACTTGATTTTCCGATGAAATTCGCAAAGTACGGATAGATTTCATGCCGCTTTGCGGCTCCGATTTTTCATTCGGCCTTATCGCGCCTTCGACATCTTTGCAGCTTGATTAATAATAATTTGTTTAATCGGCGCGCTGCATTTTTTACTTTCGCGGACATCTACGGGGAAATACGCTCTTTGAACGTAGCACTCGAGAATAAAGAAAACGTTGGCATTTCACTCGCTATGTATCGTCGCATTTTCGTCGCAAATAAATTTGAGCTACCCTCGCAGCCCCGCAAACACACGCTACACGCACGGTACACAGAGAGGCAGTTTTTAAATCATAAAAAAGCGCCCCGATATTATCTCATCTCATTTTATTATTTTAGGGGTACGCTTACGTACAGTGTATAAGGCTTCTTTCTGCCGAGACAATATGGCAATATGGCATTCGCGTGTTTTTTGCGTGCTATATAGGAGCAGCGGCGGTGGCGGCTATATACACTCGTGCTGCAGCGCCTTTTGTAAAGAGCTCGACGAGAGATAAGGAAAAAAGCCATGCCAAAGCATAAATAGCAGGCGCTGCTCGCCGAGTGTATACGGGCGAAGAAGTTTTGTGCATGCACCACTGAGAGAGCAAGAGAGAGAGAGAGAGAGAGAGAGAGAGAACAAAAAGTATATATGCGTGCTGCATTATACGCGCGGCGGAACAAGCGCGGAGCAATTCGGCAGACGCGAAACGAGGCCGTAAAGGCGCGGTATTATACGCGCCATTGTAAATTAGAGGAACGAAACTGCTACTGCTTTTGCAGTATTATAATATAGCGCGCACACATAGATACATACACACTGCACGTATGGATATACAGACGCGTTCGCACGCAGACACCCTCGCGGCATCGCAGCTCCGCTGACTGCCGAGTGCCGAGTAGCTGCTAGCCGAGCCGACGACCAGTTCTTTAATGCCTGCGCGCGAAGAGGCGGCGGCGGCAGCAGCAACGGAAGCTATATACCTTATAGTGCGTCCAGGCCATATATCCCGATGATTTACGCGCGGGTGTGCGCTCGCGAGGCTACCGTAAATTTACGTCTCTTCCTTGCCATAGCTACATATACACGCATACGCATATAAGTATACGTGCGCTCACACGCACGTATACCAGTACTTTATATACCAACGGATACACGAGCATCGCGGGCAAACACACATAGTCGCGAACGCGAACATAAAGTTTTAGGTTCCAGGCCGATGCGCATCGAGCTGCTGCCCATCGAGCTTGCTCTGCGCATTACGCACTTTCAAGCTCTCTCTCTCTCTCTCTCTCTCTCACTCACTTGTGCTCGCTATTGCGCGCTATGTTCCGAAATCAAGTCGCTGCTGCCGCTGGTTTTAGTCTCGAGCTAAATTAAGTAGTACTTTGCACGCCAGTCACGGCCAAATATATCTAATGTATGCCAAATTTATTCCACAATGCGCCTCGACTCTTTACCGCTTTTCTCTCTGTATTATAGCAGCTCTGGTAAAACATTGTAATTTTTTTTTCTGGCGAAAATTTTTATTTCGCGATAAGACACGTTTCTTTCGGCTATTATCCGAGAGCTTATAAACTCGCTTTAATTCTCCGCGCTGTTTGCAGTGGACTCGAGGCCTTGTTCTTCACCGGTCGACAAACATACTTTTTAATCCCTATATACAAAATGCAGTTTACTTCAAAAATGTTCATTCTGATTGTGCCTTTAATCGTTTTGATAAGAGTAGAGCCCGGTGAAAGTGCGGAAATTGAGTATATGGACACAGTTCTTGTACCACGATACAATTACGTATAGCGATTATCTATTGATATTTAAAACAAATGTAAATTTCGAGATTTAAATGGATATATGTTTTGGTGTTTCGTAGGGCGGAAAAATTCTGTACGACCTCGGTGACTTGGATATCGATTACTCCGACTCGGATGAATCCGACCAAGCCTATGGACTAAACGAAGCGAATACATCCAAGGACCAAATCGCCATGGCCTAGGAAAAACATATTCTCTGTTTTATATTTGTAAATCGCAATTACAGTAAAAGCTCTATCATGATCGCCAACTACACGTTTGCTTTTGGTCACTTTTTTGTTGCCTCGAACATCTTACGTACACCCATCCCGCAGCATTGATCGCGCGACCATAATCGAATATCCGTAAAAGTGTCAGAGAGCGAGAGCAGAGGCGTCCGATAAAAGACTCGCTATTTATTAGCTCGTCGTCGTCCTCGTCTTCTTCGTCGATTGTGTCCCGCATATACATAGCGCACGTAGAGAGAGACTCGCCACACGACTAGTAGCTGAAAGCGTCCTCGGCCGTATACGCGAAAACGTCCCCGAGGGAGATGAAAAAGTAAATCCCGACAGGACCCTTAAGAGCACGGAAGCCTCTTTCTTTGCTCGGTGTGCGCGCGAACCAACAACGGTCAGAGAAATCTCGACGTTCGCTATGTACACATACAGGACTATAAGTGCTATATAGATACAAGGACGATGTGGCCGGTGGCAAAATCGCCTCGTAAAGCCGCAGAGGCGGCTCGACGCGAGTATCCGAGCCGTAATAGCGGAGGGTCGCAATACGCATCCGGGGCTACTGCTCTACCCATATGGATTTGCGCGCGTGTGGCTTGTTATACGTGTTTAAAGGAAAGAAAAAAGGCGCGAGGGGCAAGAGGCTACGTAGTAACCGTGAACGCCAACATTTTATTTTACAATGCTTGCGTAGATTGCACGTGTATATAGCCAGGGCTTCGATTGGCTCGCTATAAAACTTTGAGAATTTTGATAGGACTGGAATTTTTTTACCGTCTACGAATGACGCAATAAAAAAAGGAGTCACCGTGCAACGCCAAATAACGTCCAACTTGTTCATCGATTTTTTTTTGTGCTCTCGTCCTCGTACCTCGGAGCAAATGATGTTATCGAGTTGCGAAACAAATGTTCACACGCAGTAATAATGCAAATAAAGCTCGGCGGGCATGCAGGTCGTTGAGAGAATAAGGGTGTAGCGCGATGCTGCATCGCAATATTTAACGTCTCTCGCGAGCCTCGCGCGGCTCTATACGTTATAACAAACAGCCATTGGCGAAAAATGTATAATATAGGTAAGGTATAGGGCACAAAATTATTTGCCATAAAAGTCCGGGAGAGGAAAGTTTCATATAAAGCGCGGCGGTTCGGGCTTCTTATATTCACCGCCGCCGCCGCGGCGAGGCGAGCTTTCATTTTCCATGCTCAGGTCGTTGAGCACGCTTATCGCGGCGATAAATAAAGTCAATCGCTACATACATAGAGCGGCAAATGCGCCATGAGCGTATTACACATTGTTCGTGTCCATAACTTTATATATATCTCGCGCGAGGCGGCGGCGAGCGACGAGGAGAAGAGGAAGAAAAAAAAATATCGCGCGCGTATAAGCCGCCATTATAGCCGTGTGGCAGCAGCAGCGTAGTATTATATACACGAGATCGTGCCACGACCCCCTCAGCTGGAAAAATACTTACACATCTTTCGGTGGAAAAAAAGCCGCAAGCCGCGAAATCGATCGCGCGCTCGCAGCTCTCTGCAGCTCGTGCGCTCCTATATTCACGAGCTGCTATTCACATAGACGCGCACACGGACATAAAATACTCCTAGGCTCGTTTTCGGCAATTTTTTTCCTTTACGACCGATCGCAAACGGCGCGCGAGGGGCGCTCACCGCCGCCGCCGCCGCCCCGCGCCGACTATGATTTATCTGTCAGATGTAGTATAGCGGAGTAACCATCCACCGCAGCGGGCACACTCCATTTCCGCGCGAATAAGAAATAATGCCATTTATTACGGATTCTCCGAGCTCCGACGATATAAGCTTTTTTTTCGCGTGAGAAATGTACATGCACGTGCCGAAAGTAAGTAAAAATGACGAGCTCGTGAGGGTATTTTTTACTTGCATTTACGTACGTGCATACCTCGAGAGCGATTTCTTGCCGAGCGATATGTGTGTATGTGTCGCGCGTGCCTATCTAGAGAGCCGAGTGGCGAGCTCTGCGGTGAGCTCGCAAAAGCCTCGAGTCCTGCACTGCAACGGATATACGCGCGCGACACGAGTCCTCCTAGCTACGGTCGGTAAGTGCAAACGAATTATCAACTCGTGTTAACAGACTCGTGTTCGTCGTGTGACTTGTCGAGAGATCAACAAGTCGTGTGCGCTTTCAACCCTTATCGGATAAGTGGGCGTTCTCGCTTTTGAATAATTTCCAAAGAAGATAACGCGACCCTGCAGCGACCTTCGAACAATTTGTAGTCTGAGCTCGCTCCTACATATTTGTTCAACTTTACTCCTTTTCACTTCAAACTGTCAATAGTTTTTTTTTTTTTTTTTTTCAAGATCAAATCTCAAAGTCACTATTTATCGATTAGTTGATCGATAAAAAGCCTCGTAATTTTTGTGCTCGTATACATAGATCGTCTTTTATACTATGTTCTAATCTTTAAAATGAAAAAAATCCATGCAATTAATTATTCCTAGATGGAAATATCAACATTTGCATATGTACTTGTTGATTCGATGTACAAGCCCGATTACATAGAACTGAAAAACGGGAGCAACGCACGCAACGCTTGTCTGCAAGATACAATTCATTGAGAAACAATCGCTAACACACCGCTGAAAATAAATGAGAAAAGCATCGTGAGATGTATGGGCAAACGTAAGCAGCAAAAGTCGCAAGACATGCATACAAAACTGTACACGTAATGTAACTTTATGGAGAAAAGCTCGATCGATCGGCTGTCCAAAGGCACAGTGGTGAGCATGCGTCGTCGTCGACGTTGGTCGCGTCGTCGAGCAGCAGCAGCAGCAGCAGCAGCAGTAGTAGTGGCCTGTGGCAAGCAGCAGCAGCAGAGGAGCGAGAAAGACAGAGGCCAAGCGCACGTCATAGGGCAGCACGCGAAATACCGTCTGCGAACGGCGTGTGTGGCCTCTCGTCGGGCTCTCTCTCTCTCTCTCTCTCTGTCGTCTCATCAGGTGTTTCTCGAGTGGAACTTTGTCACTCGTCTTTGTTCCACCTCCTCGACTCGATCGACTCCCAAGTGACGTTTCACCAGTGAGTATATCAGTCAGATTCATTCTATTAATATAGCTCGTACTACAAAATACCCGAGTCAAAGATCGTTGAGCTTCGTTGTTTAACCTGCTGCGCGTAACAAACACATAATCGCGAATGCACAATCAAGCTGGATTATCAATTTGCTTACGGTAGTTTCAATACACTTCTACGAGTCTCAGTTTTAACGCCTGAAGGGGGTGAAATGGAAATTGAGCGCTCGAGAGCATGTTGGCGGAAGTGATCCTTCTCCATTAGCCTTCAACAAGCCGACGGATAATTGCCGTTCGATAAAGGTAGAACTAACGCGATCAAGAGATAGATCTTGCTTTCGAATGGCTCTAGTGTACAAGAGAAGATAAGTTCGAAAGCCCGCCTAAAGCAACTTTCGTGTCGTTTAATCGGTCGGATCGAGTCGCGCGACCGCCGCTAATTAGTGGAAAAATTAAAGGACCAACGCGTCCGCATTTTGATCGCTCTAATTTTGCTCTATTTTCGTCCCGACTATTTCTGGAGAGCCGAGATAGAGATTGTGTCTTGCTCGATGAATCGATACAGCACTCGGGGCATTTGAATAAATAATGCAGCCGCGTGCGATGCCTCTGCTCGCGCGGCTATCGATTGCAGCAGCACCGCAGTTAAGACAGCGAATAAAGCTCGGCAAGCAACGGATTAGAATCGCGCCAGCGACGATCCGATATACCAGATGCTTTAAGTGCATCGAGTGCTCTATTTTGATGCGCGCGCGAAAAAACATCGGAATAAAAGCAATCCGATCTCGTATACGCGATTTTGATTTTGCGATTCGCCCTTCCTCCCGCGTACATCGAAAACGAAGAGCTTTTTCCAATTGGTAGATTCAAATTTAAGCACAGTTTGACTTTGCTGTGAAAGTATTGTTGAATATGCTCGCCTGTCAGCTGTACCCGCTCGGTCAGCCTTTTTCATCTTGTGGTCATGTTTTCGTGTTGTAAATACGTTGACTTGAACGCTGCGCTGAATTTCGGCCACGTGTCGAGAGAGGTTCGCCTGGCCGAGAACCAATCCCTAGCGCCTTGTGCGAGGTGTATACGCGCTGTTTCCAAGGCGAAGGTCTCTGGCCAGTTGTGCAGAACACGCATGCTTCGGATGTTTTCTATCCATTCGCGCGCTACGGCTGGGGCCTCACTTCCGGTGAATACTGGAATGCTCTTACTCAAATCCGACATTACCTGATAATTCAAAGGAGCCACTGTAGCCTGAGCATCCTAGAAGGTAAGATTTCTTGATAGGCCGTTGAGAATCCGCTGCATGGTTTCGTCGCGGCTTCTATCCCGTCGACGATTTTCTTCCAACATAGTTATCACTAGTGCCTCTAGACCGGTAGCTTCAGGATTCTCGATGATCGCACTGTTCAAGGGGTTATCCAGCATCACGCTTTGATCCAAGCTCATGTTGCTCGATCTCCTGGACGGTGGTTTGAGTTTCGTTGCAGTGTTGCCGTTGGCGTGTTCCGGCCTCTGCAAAAACTCAGCCTACTCATGTCCGGCGGGAACTCGTACCTTTCCGTCGATCGCTTGTTGGCGCCATTCTGCAAAATCGGCTGACGAAAAATGTCGAAGGCCTTATCCGGAGCTCGCTGCTTCGTTTTTCTGATCCACGATTCCATAAATTTTGCCAAAATCAACTATTCGCGTTGGTGGTAATGGGTAAGGTTGCTCGTGAAATCCCACTTCTGATGTTAAATGATTTAATTAGGGTTGAAAAATACTTGAAACGTACACGAGGCTTGCTTATAATTTAGATTTAATAATGGTTAAAACTCGCTGTTGTCGCTATACGCACTCGGTGTCCGCGAGACACCGCTGATCAATACGCACAGAGCTCTCGCCTGCTTACAACTTACGTTTAAATACACATCGTGTGACACAAAAATAATAATTATAATACATACATACATAGATAACGACTTATACATATACAAGGAAAAGCAGTTTACACCTAAAATAACGCCGGTGCTTACGAAGACTATCTCTTTTTTAAATGCAGACAAATTCCTGTAGCGAAGACATTCTCTTTTTTTCAAAATACGGCGAAAAAAACCACTCATTCGATTTGTAACTCAAAATTTTCCAAAAACATATAATCACTAGATCTAAAATAGCGGGGTGATTCTTATATTCAAAAATTTAAATGCTACTGTTTTAAAAAGGGGGATTTTCTTCGGAGGTAGCATCAAAAGTAAATGCAACTTTTCAACAACATGTGCCATCATGCTTCTACTTATATAATAAATTTGACTTTGCCACTTGCAGAAATTTCTATATCTCAGCATAGATTTAAATATCTTCCTTTCATTTTGTGTTAAAAATAATGCATGCGTGATTGCATTATCATGAATTTTTATGCAGTTTCTGCTGTGTAAAAAAATAAATCAGTTCTGATAAATGGATTATCAACAAATGTAGCATGAAAAAATTTATCTTTAATAACATTCAATAATTTTAATCTGCATTTAATTAACGGTTTTTTAACGGTGTGTTTCAAACCAACCGGTACATACCCGGTTTTCGTATTACTTTGAAAAACTTACAGAATTTCGATTTATGAAAAATTCTATAAGAATTTTTATTCTATTACATTTTTGGTGCTCTTTGAGGCCAGCTATAATTTTAGATTTTATAATTTTGACCGGTAAAATTTAAATGTATCAATGAGGTTTATAACAATATAATAATCATTCCAATCAGCGTGTTAAAGGGATACACAAAAATTCAGTCCCGTTCGGATCCAAGTGTCAATGACCGATAAGAGATATAGTTTGACTCTCGTCGCGACGCGACCTTGTGCCTACTTACAACTGCAACCGATTACATCTGAAGATCTTATTGAATGATTTTGTATGTGTTTGAATGTAAACATAGATAACATCATCGAACGTGCTACTAGAATTTTCGTTACAATGGTTTTTCCCTCATCGTTTCATTCTCGAAACAAGTATGTTAGCTCAAGGTATAATAGGATTTTGTCATCGACCGGTTATCGCGTTTCTTTCAGAAAATTTTCAACAAACTTTTTGCCTAGCGTGTCGAAATATTTGATCAATCTTTTTTTGCGCGCCGACTTGGAAATCGAGGTTGCACGCAATTAAATATTATACGGCAGAAAAGCATTATCGTGCATCGCAGCTCGCTCGTGTGCATGCGCTTATGCACATTGCACTGCATTTTTCAGTAATGCCGTCGGTCAGGAGGATGATACTGGGCCACGTGATGTCGGGTATGTGTGCCAAAATCAATCGCAAGAAGAAAATCGATGGCGACATGATGGAGACACCCCTGAGCAGATGTCTCTCGACCTTTGACATAACTCTCCTGGGTAAGGCATAAATCGAGCAGCTCTCAAAGGCTCTCGCAGCTGGGAATTTAATGGTTTATTAACGATAATCACTCGGTACGTCGACAGGCGTCGGTCACATGATCGGAGCCGGCATCTACGTGCTGATCGGTACGGTGGCCCGCGACACCGCCGGGCCCGGCATAACGCTGAGCTTCCTGCTGGCCGGTCTGGCTTCCCTCCTGGCGGCCCTCTGCTACGCCGAGTTCGGCGCCAAAGTGCCAAAGGCCGGAAGCGCCTACGTCTACGCGTACGTGTCGGTGGGCGAGTTCTGGGCCTTCGTCATCGGCTGGAACATCATCCTCGAGCACATGATCGGCGCCGCGTCGGTCGCCCGGGCCTGGAGCGGCTACGTGGACTCGCTCTCGGATCGGGCCATCAGCAACCTGACGCGCCGTCTGATGGCCGGCCACAGCATGGACGAGCCCTGGGGCACGATACCCGATCCGCTGGCCTGCATCCTGTGCCTGCTCTACGCTCTGCTGCTGGCCATCGGCGTCAAGTGCTCGGCCGCCGTCAACTCCATCCTGACTCTGGTCAATCTGGCGGTCATGGCTCTGGTGATCGGTCTCGGCTTCTACTACGCCGACCTGTCCAACTGGAACTATCGGGGCCAGGGCTTCCTCCCCTACGGACTCGGGGGTGTGTTCGCGGGCGCCGCCACGTGCTTCTACGCCTTCATCGGCTTCGACTCGATAGCGACGTCGGGCGAGGAGGCCCGCAACCCGAGCCGCAGCATACCCCGGGCCACGGGCCTGTCCATGGGCATCGTCACCGTCGGCTACATCCTCGTGGGGGCGGCCCTCACACTGGTTGAGCCCTACAGTCGCATCAGTCGGAGCGCAGCCCTGCCCGAGGCCTTCGCCGCCAAGGGCATACCCTGGGCCAAATACGTCATCAGGTAATTTTTACTTTACTCATCGGATCGCGCGCTTTCGAGGCAAAAAAGACTCGTAGAACGGAAAGATAATTAAAATCGAGCTCGGAATGAGAATCGATATAGTCGAGGAAGTACTAATGAAATTCCTCGATGACGTCTGTACTGCGCATACGTACGGCAGCGTGGGCGCACTGTGCGGCATGACGACGACCTTGTTCGGCTCGCTGTTCTCCCTGCCCCGCACCATGTACTCGATGGCCAGCGACGGTCTGCTGTTCGGCTTTCTGGCGCGGGTCAGCAAGCGCACCCGCGTGCCCACCCTCAATCTGGCCATCAGCGGGGTCTGCAGCGGCCTCGTGGCTCTGCTCTTCGATCTCGATCATCTGGTGGAGTTCATGTCGATCGGCACCTTCCTGGCCTACACCATCGTCTCGGCGAGCGTCATCGTGCTGAGGTACCGACCTCCGGCGCCGCCCTCCGGCGCCATGGACACGACCGTCACCTCGGATACGACCACCTGTAGCGCTGCTGCTGGCGGGGGCAACTCGACGCATCAACTCGCCTCGCCGGTCACCGACATGATCATGGACTCCGAGTGCCAGAGCATCTTCAGCTCCATCGAGTCGCAGGTAGAACCAATTGGACGATTCGTCGTCGATCGGCATCGTCCTTCATTCGGACGTTCTCGTCCATTTCCGTTTCAGCTGCTCATCCAGGGCTACTGCACCGACGGCGTCGGCCGAGTGAAGCCTCGCTACGTCTGGCTGTCGAACCTGCTGGGCAATTGCGAGCCCGGCAGCGCCGTGACCATGTGCATCGTTTGCTACTCCGCCTCGTGCATCTCCTTCTGCGCTTTGCTCGTCGTACTGTCGCAGAACTCCGTGTCGCCGGCCTGGTACGATTATCTGCTGCTGCTCAATCTCTTCGTCATCATCGTCATCAGTTTGCTGGTCATAGCGGCTCATCAGCAGAATCCCCCTCATCCGGACGGAACGGACACTTTTCGGGTTCCTATGGTTCCATTGGTGCCGGCGCTCAGCATAGCTTTGAACATCGCCCTCATGTTCCACTTGTCCATGTTGACGTGGTTGCGCTTCCTCGTTTGGATGGTTATTGGTAAGTAACCGAAATTCGACCAAAACAAAACACCGAAATTTCAACGGATCGTTACTAAATCGTCGTTTCTTGTGTCAACTGCAGGTTTTCTCATTTACTTCCTGTACGGGATACACTACAGCAAAGAAGCCGTCGATCCAACTTCCTATGCGGTGCTGATGGAGACGGCCGAAGCCGAGCGAGGTGCCAAATGGGGCTCGTGCAGTCTCAGACTCAACCGCAAGAGCGACGCCATGCAGCCGATCGATGGTAACGATGACTTTTCGCATTGAGATCGGGTTAGGGAGCCGGTGGCAGGCGATCGTGGCCACGCCAAGATTTCTAGAAGAAAGACCAATCCCGTTGCTTTGTCCTTTGTATAGATTCGCTGAAATTGTGATAAAGCTGAGCGCTGACCTGCTACGTCGTTCCAAATAGATCCTATGGCAACTCAAGACGGCATATATAAAAATGTTACTTTTTCTACTAGAAAGTCTCAATGAAAAATATCAAAACGAACCAATTAATCTAAAAGTCAAACGTTTCATTTTTACCTCAGAATGAAAAAATTCTTTTGCTCAAAATCGTTACACAAAAAGAAGACTGAACAAAAAAATAAACAAATGCAACAAATCAGTGTTACGACGAATAGATATTCAGCTGCACAATCGAGTGGGTTTGGATGTTTCGATCAAAGATGTTTCGTCTGCAGCGCAAGTACGATAGTAAATCACCGGTCTACGAGAATCAAAAATCTTTTTTACACAAACATCGCCGTTATCGTATGAATGAAAATTTTATGTTGATTCTAGACAATATTCACACAAATGTTGTTCAACAGACAATGTTGACAATTTGTCGTCATTCTGTACCTAAAAAGAGTAAAAAAACGATATATAATATATTATATTCATAGGCACAAAAAGTGATTATATATCTATGTATAAATTATTGCTAAAAATTATTTTAAAGAATGTATAGCAGAAATGTTAACGTTGCCTTCTGGAAAACGATGATAATTCCAAGTGTCTTTGTACATAGTAATAATATAATTTTAAATTGTTATTATTCCTAATTTGTTACATGTATGCAATATGTGGAATTATTTTTATTGCGTTCTATTCTGATTTAGTACTTGAATGTAACCTTTAATTATCTCGGTAAAATCTTTTGTTTGTCCATTGTTATACGTGCGTTAAAGTGCGTGGTCGAAAAAATGCTGTTTAATTGTTTATACTGTACAAGAGAATCGCATACAAAAGAATAAAAATATATTAATCAACAAGAATTACCTCGTGGTATTATTTTGTGAGATATCATCCCAGTTTTACATTCTGGAGTTTAACAGTCTCTGGAGATTATTATAATTCCGATGTTACAATTTCTAATAGTTATCGTATTAATCAATCGTTGGTTTGTGCGTTGTTTATCGAGTATTATTATAGCAGTGGCGATTATTGGAATTATTTCTCGAGACCAAACAAACGTCGGTCGATAATTGAACGAATATAACAATCGTCCAACGCGTATTAATCCCCCCGTAAAATATAATTAACTGCGCGTTATTCAATGCCGACGATAATTTCGCGTGCCGTACTCCATATAAAATGAGCAAAATATTCCAAACTCATACGGTTTGTCGTGCTGCCGTTCTGATTAATTTTTAACGAAGCTGCAAAAGGATGCTTTTGCGAGTCGCTCTACTGCTTGCCGCCTGCTATGTCATATCTGTCGTCGAGGATCTCTGCCCGGACGGTCGTCAGTTTTATCCTACTATTACATTATTACATAATTTTGTTTTGCTGGAAACATAGCTCTGTCGTTTTTTTTCAGGTCCTCTACGTCGTGGCCGAATCATGTGTGGTCTCTGACAGTTTCGAGCTTTTCGAAGGTTGGAGACTTTTTTCAAATATGCCTTCACGTCGCGAGATCCTCGTCTCGATTTAAATTTCACGTTTACGCGTCAAATTCGATCTGTCGATTTCAACGTTCTTGGCGAACTTTTAACTGAAAATAATGTATACAACTGTGCTATAAAAAACCAACTTTTAACAACTACCATATTTTACTTCAAAATCTGTAGTACTTAAAAATTTTACTCCTTTGCTATATTAATCCAATTTCCGATCTATTCGCAGATTGATTAAAATATTTTCTGTCCAATCGATTTCACCTATACGAAATTCATTGATGGACTTTTCACCAACATTGAATAGAAATAATTAAGTGAATAATGTCTTATTCATGAAGCTGTAGCGAATAATCCCGAAATATTGATGGAAAGCCATACAACATTTAGACTCAGGTATGTTTAAAAAACCCTTGGCTGAATCGTAATTCGATTATCCTGGCATTGCAATTGACGCAGCAAATTACTCACATACGTCGATTCAGCATCTGACTCACTCGCCACTCTCTTATGCTTCCGGATTATGTCTATATACTGTAATACTTGATGTGTGCCAATGCGTACACATAGTAAAGCTGCTGCGGCTCGGGCGGCTGTGCCAATCTATGCGAGTGCGACGAAGACAGCTCCAGCAGGAGACCGCCATGTTTGTATAGGCCTTTCGACGCTCTGTCAGTGATCCCAGCAAAGGGTGGAGTTTTGTGTCATTTTTGTCTGATACATTTCTAAGCGCGGCCCTGTCAAGGGCTGTTCAGGGCAAGTATTCATGTATTTTTAAGCCCGTAGTTAATTTTTCATTATTTGAGCCTAATTCTCAAAATATTAGATTGTGTTTTGCGATATGATAGTGATAAACATTGTACATAACCTGATGCGAATTCTAATGTTTTGCCAACACTTGCCAACTTTTTGACACTTGGCAAACAATCATTGTAATTTATGATAATCGCTTTATATTATCGCAACTAAGCATTTTAGCGTTTCTACAACGAGTAATCCTTTTAACTGTTTTCAAACTACTACTTTACCCGTTATAAATTCTTGTTCGTCGATTTGCAGGATAGGTCAAACATGGCCCAAGATAAAGTGACTCTTGGAGATGCACTATCCAACGTAGATGTATTGGATGAGTTTAATTTACCCTATGAACAACCTTGCATTGAAGCACAGCCCTGTTCGGTTGTGTATCAAGCAAATTTTGATACTAACTTTGAAGACAGAAATGGATTTGTTACTGGAATTGCAAAATACATAGAAGAAGCTACGGTCCATGCAAGTCTGGTTAGTAGTTACCTTTTCTTTTGTCTTGAAAATCCTTTATTTCTATAATGATATTATTTCTACTAATTCTTTCCAGAATGAACTTCTTGAAGAAGGATTAGAACATGCAGTTATGTTATATACTTGGAGATGTTGTTCGCGAGCCATTCCTCAACCCAAATCCAATGAGCAACCCAACAGAGTTGAAATTTATGAAAAAACAGTTGAAGTATTGGCACCTGAAGTGAATAAATTGTTAAATTTTATGTATTTTCAAGTAAGTACCGATAATTATACCAATAATAACACAACAGAAACGTATTAATTTTTTTAAATTAAATTTCTTACAGAGAAAAGCAATCGAACGATTTTCTGCTGAAGTAAAAAGATTATGTCACCAAGAAAAAAGGAAGGATTTTGTTTCAGAAGCTTATTTATTAACTTTGGGAAAATTTATAAATATGTTTGCAGTTCTTGATGAATTGAAAAATATGAAATCAAGTGTTAAGAATGATTATTCAACTTATAGAAGGTAAAAATAATACAACTACTCATAAATACAAAGTCACATCAATTTTACTATTTATATATTTTTACAGAGCCGCTCAATTTTTAAAAGTCATGTCTGATTCGCAAACTCTTCAAGAATCTCAAAATTTATCCATGTTTCTTGCAACACAGAATAAGATTAGAGATACTGTAAAAGAAAATTTAGAAAAAATTCAAGGCTATGAAGAGTTATTAGCTGATGTTGTAAATATTTGTGTTCATATGTTTGAGACAAAAATGTACTTAACTCCAAATGAGAAACACATGTTGGTGAAAGTCATGGGCTTTGGGTTGTTTTTAATGGATAGTGAGTTGTGCAATATTAACAAGCTGGACACAAAAAAAAAATTAAAATTGGATAGAATTGATAGAATTTTCAAAAATTTGGAAGTTGTTCCACTTTTTGGAGATATGCAAATTGCTCCTTTCAATTATATAAAACGTTCCAAACATTTTGATGCTTCCAAATGGCCGTTGTCTTCTTCTGTAAACAGCATGAGCCCTCAAGCTGATTTGATGGTTCACTTGCCACAAATTCGCGAAGATCATGTCAAATACATTAGCGAGTTGGCCAGGTAATTAACATTTATTCACAATTGGCCACATGGTATTTTTTTTGCTTATAGATCAATTTCATATATTATGTACCTTTTCTTTTTACAGATATAGTAACGAAGTTACTACTACTTATAAAGATTGTGGCAGTGATATTGAAAACAGAGAAACTGCTGAATTAGCATTGCGTGGTTTACAACTATTATCACAGTGGACGAGTGTTGTTACAGAATTATATAGTTGGAAATTGTTGCATCCTACCGATCATCACATGAATAAAGAGTGTCCCCAGGAGGCTGAAGAATATGAAAGAGTAAGTTTATCGAATAAAACAAAATTTTACTGATTATTTTTCAAACTTAAGAAAAACTAAAAAATAATTTTTTAGGCTACACGTTATAACTATACAGATGAAGAAAAGTTTGCTTTGATTGAAGTTATAGCAATGATTAAAGGTCTTCAGGTTTTGATGGCTCGTATGGAGACAGTTTTTGTTGATGCGATTCGTAGGAATATTTATGCAGAACTACAAGATTTTGTACAACTGGCTCTAAGAGAACCACTCAGAAAAGCTATTAAAAATAAGAAAGATTTGATTAGAAGGTAAAGCATAGCAATTGATAATAATTAACAATTTTTCGAACAAATAAGTATTAATCAAACAAAACTTTTAGCATTATTGTTTCCGTAAGAGAAACGTGTGCAGACTGGCATTTTGGTGTAGAACCCACTGCAGATCCAGCATTAAAAGGTAAAAAAGATCCAGATAATGGATTTGGCATTAAAGTCCCAAGAAGAAAAGTTGGTAAGTAAACTTTTTCTAATGCGTTTCTTATCATGTGTATTAAATGATTAAAATATTGACATTTGAATTTCAGGTCCATCATCCACTCAACTTTATATGGTACGAACCATGCTAGAATCTCTTATAGCTGATAAGAGTGGTGGGAAACGAACTCTTCGAAAAGACATTGATGGTCAATATTTAGTTCAAATAGACCAATTTCACAAAACTAGTTTTTACTGGGGCTATTTATTAAACTTTAGTGGTAAGTCATATATATACAAAGTTTTTAAATATCCTTTTAATATTTTTTCAATAAACAACCATTTTTTTTAGAATCGTTGCAAAATTGCTGTGACCTTTCTCAATTATGGTACAGAGAATTTTATCTTGAGATGACAATGGGTCGTAAAATACAGGTAATTATAACAATATATGATGTCAAATTTTCCGCGATAAACTTAATATATTATTTGGCAAAGTACTTAAAAAGGTTCACAAGTTTGCAGTATCTGCGCCAAACTAAACTATTTGGCTCTATTCCATTTCTCTATATTCCTTCTACTCTTCTTCTATTCACGACTCTGCTAGAATCTATACAATTTTCTTTTTCAAACATTATTGCTATTTTCTCTGACTTTTTTCATGACTAGAAATGCCAAGTGCGACATCAGCACAATGAAGAATGCAGCGATTTGATCACCATGGAAAAGCGTATTCAGGTACTCTTCGATCCAAAATCATCATTTTATTGTATGAATAGATGGTTTTTAGTTACTAGAGAAATACCATTGAAGTGCACAATTGGTAATTAAATGTACTGTTCAGTTTGCCATGCACTATCTTGGATTATATGTTCTATGTTGTTTTACTACTGTACTTTTTTTTACACTACATGCACTTGAGTTCTGAATTGATTTGTAACAGCACTTTACTTGTGTTATTTTTTTAGTAAATAATGATCAAATACGTAGTGTAATTATTTAAAACGTATGGCACACTAAGTTAAAAAAACCGGATTAGAACTTACTATTGTTATTTGTAGGTAGCTGGAATAAATAGGTGAAATCAACATCTAGTAGATTTTTTATATTATTTGAGGTTTTGATAAATAGATGTTGAGACGTGTTTTATGTTTCGTACTAACTACGGGTGTTCTATTTAAAATTATTTTATCATTGAATTAAATAATATTTAATATTCTAGTTTCCAATAGAGATGTCGATGCCTTGGATTTTGACCGATCATATTCTACGAAGTAAAGAGCCGTCAATGATGGAGTAAGTATTGATTATTTTTTAGTAAATTAAAAGTTTCTGATGTATTTGCTTTGGACAGGTACGTTCTCTACCCACTGGATTTATACAACGATAGCGCCTTATACGCCCTGACCATCTTCCGAAAACAATTTTTATATGACGAAGTTGAAGCTGAAGTAAATCTCTGCTTCGATCAATTTGTCTATAAACTTAGTGAGCAGATATTTGCCCATTATAAGCAGCTGGCTGCAAGCATACTCCTGGACAAACGATTCCGTGTCGAATGTCTCGCTGCTGGAGCTTACATTCTCTCGTATCCTCGAGCTAATCGCTACGAGACCCTTTTGAAGCAGCGCCATGTTCAACTTTTGGGACGCAGTATCGATTTGAACAAATTGATTACTCAAAGAATCAATGCTGACATGCAGAAATCGCTGGATTTAGCTATCAGCAAGTTCGAATCTGGAGACATCACCGGTGTTATAGTATGTTGACATTCAAAAATGCAAAAATGTAGATTAAATCCGTTCTTCGCTGAAACTGATTAATTGTTTATTTTTATAGGAATTGGAGGGACTATTGCAGGTTAATCGTCTTACTCATAAACTATTGAGCAAATATCTTGCTCTTGATGAGTACGACGCTATGTATCGCGAAGCGAATCACAACGTTCTAGCTCCATACGGCCGAATAACTTTGCATGTGTTTTGGGAATTGAATTATGATTTCCTGCCGAATTACTGTTACAATGCAGCTACAAATAGGTTCGTAATGGTTTATTTTATTCGACTCTCTTTCGTGTTTGTAAATCATTGTTAAATATTTTTTGAAGGTTTGTCAAGTGCCGAGGACTGCAGTTTGTCCAAGCTGTGCATCGCGATAAACCACCGCAAATGTCACATCACTATTTATGGGGTAGTAAGCAATTGAATTTGGCTTATTCGACTCAGTATGGACAATATTCAGGATTCGTTGGTCCTCATCACTTTCGTCAAATGTGCAAACTGCTCGGCTACCAAGGCATCGCAGTCGTCATGGAAGAATTGCTAAAAATCGTAAAATCTCTCATTCAAGGAAGTTTGCTTCAATTTACAAAAACATTGATGGAGGCCATGCCGAAGGTCTGCAAGCTTCCCCGTTATGACTACGGTTCACCCGGTGTTCTTGGGTATTATCATGCCCAGCTAAACGATATTGTACAATACCCCGATGCTAAGACGGAACTTTTTCATAATTTCCGTGAATTTGGTAACACAATACTCTTTTGTTTATTGATGGAACAAGCTCTATCACAAGAGGAAGTTTGTGATCTAATGCACGCGGCACCTTTCCAAAATATACTTCCTAGACCCTATTGCAAAGGTAATATTTTAATTTATTTTCAAAAATAATATATCACATTACAATGTTAATTTCATAAACCTTAACAATAATAGAAGGAGAAAAACCAGAATCGAAACAAAAAAAATTAGAATCCAAATATCAAGCTCTTCAAATCGTGCCAAATGTTGACAAATTTGGAACAGCTAAAGTAAGATTTTGATTAAAAGTTATAATGCATCATTTTTTTTCTATCAGAATTAAAAATGTTTTAATTTTTAGCAAGCTATGATAGCCCGAGAAGGAGATTTATTAACACGTGAAAGACTTTGCTGTGGCTTATCAATATTTGAAGTCGTCTTAAATCGATTGCGCAGTTTTCTTGATGATCCAATATGGGTAGGACCACCTCCCGCAAACGGAGTAATGAATATCGATGAATGTACTGAATTCCATAGATTATGGAGCGCCCTTCAATTTGTCTATTGTATTCCGGTAGGAGATACTGAATTCACTGTCGAGTAAGTGTGGATACACAAATTTTTCCTGCTAAAATAAACAATCCTTTTTTTACATTTTAATAAAAATATCTTCCTTAGGGAATTATTTGGAGAAGGTTTGCATTGGGCTGGATGTGCCATGATAGTTCTACTTGGACAACAACGTAGATTTGAAGCCTTAGATTTTTGTTATCACATTTTGCGAGTGCAACGTGTAGATGGAAAAGATGAGAATGTCAAAGGAATTGTAAGTAGAAAAAAATTTAGATAAAAACACGGAAATCAAACATTTTAATTCTTCGTTTTAATTTTAGCATCTGAAACGGATGGTAGACAGAATAAGACGTTTCCAAGTGTTGAATTCTCAAATATTTGCAGTATTGAATAAGTACCTCAAAAGCGGTGACAGCGATGCATCGAGTGTTGAACACGTTAGATGTTTCCCACCACCTATACATCCATCACTGGCTCATGTTCAACAACACTATCATGCTCCGGAGTATTTACGACAAATAAATCATCCATAAGTTGAATTTGATTTCGACATTTAACCAGAAGGACTTATATTATCTTTGAGGGAGATATAAATGAATAATTTATGTTAACTTGCAATAATTATCGTTTTAGAAGGAATTTATGATAAATGTAATTTTATAATAACACGATTAGCCTAGTTTTTACATTTATTTACTCTGACGTGCAAAATCGAATGAAATCATGGTCCTTCAAGATTTATTATAAATTAAAAAGTTAATAATCCATTGATTAATAGTTATTTTATACAAAATATATATGATAAAAAAATTTTTAAAAATCATAAAAATTAATAATAACATTTTTACATTTATATATTATATATTTACTTACTTTCAAAAGTCATACCAGACACATTTTAAATGAATAAATGTACTTTCGATGAAATGATAGTATATTTACTTGTAAAAACTGAATCTTTTGGCATCATTTATACTTCTACTTGCTAAACCAAATTAAATATGTAAATATATCAGTAAAAAGTATATGTTAGTAACAAATATATTTAATAATTAAAATGGATTTCATACTATATCTTATGAAAATTCTCTGCTGATATGAATAAAGTTCGCAAAAATTTGAGGAAACATAGTATCAAAATCAGTTCTGTCTTATTTGATAATTGATTTTCTTTGACTCTGCCCTTCTTAATATTAAACGGTTTTTACAGCTTTTTCGTTAATTTGTCCTTTATATAAATTCAATATTTTAATTTTCATGAGTAAATTTTCGCAAGTTCAGTTTCTTAAAGTTATACCCACAAGTGATTTGTTTTTTTTTTATAGTTGATTACGGCCCTTTCTGCTACAAGGCTAATTGGCCAACCTCACCGTTCTACTTAAAGGTGGGTCTTCCGTGTGTATGTAAGTGTGTGTGTGTGTTAGTGTATTAGCGTGTACCTATAGTCGATATGGTTGCGCCTCCCATACCACTGAGGTTACGCTTTGATAATGGTGTGACCCCCAACACCAGAGACCGCAGTTGAAGTGCACTAGCTTTTCCCCAAGGAAAATTTACACCATATACACCCAACGGTGCAAACCCCGCAGAAAAAACCTCGGGAAAAAACCAGCCCACCGCCGGGATTTTTTGAACCCTGACTTCTCCGTTGAGAAGCAAGAGCTCAAGCCCCACAGCCACCGCGGCCTCTGTGTGATTTGTGAATGCCGGTGTTCGGTGCTGCCACCTACATGTCAGATTCGCCTCGATAAATTCAATCATTAGTTGATTGTTGAATTCTGTACCATACACGTGCTCCATGCGTCCACAATTATAGTCGGTGCTCTAATTTTGTACTTGATACTTGATATGAAACAAGAAAGTCCTATAATAATGGGTAAATACATCTAATGCAGCTATAATTATCACAATTAATAGTTTTAAAAAAAATAATCGTTTTTAATTCTTACATAAAATGTTCAAATTTAGACGGTGGAATCCCTGAGAATAAATCTAGTTCAGAATCCGATGATGATTTTGACATGCAACAATCCAGTTCTGATTCAGATTCTACGACTTATTCAGGTAACTATTAGATTTAACTAATTTACCTTTCAATCAGATGAATTGCTATTAAAATATTAATATTTTTGTTTTGTAAAAAGATGGAGAACTGAATGCAGATAGAAATTATGAAACAGAATGTGTCAAAGAAACAGAAGAAAATGAAAATGAGGAAGAAGAAGAAGACCCAGTAATACAAGCTATAAAGAGAAATCATGTTCTTAAAACAAATCATCCTAAAGATATTGTTGTGGAAGATTTGATCTCAGAAATTTGTTTTCATCCCAATGAAAACTATATTGCACTAGCTTCAATTTCAGGCGATGTGCTAATGTAAGTGGTTTGGTTTATTTTGATTAATTATGATATTGTAAGTAATTATAACAAATTATAGATACGATTATACATCTACTAATGAAGAACAAACGCCTCTTTTCACCTTGGAAGCTCATGAAAAAAGTTGCAGAGATATTGATTTTAGTTCTGATGGAAAAAAAATATTTAGTTGTGGAAAAGATAAAGCTATTTTTATTCATGATTTTGAGACACAAAAATTAACAGGAATGTTTGAAAATGCTCATAAGTAAGTTAAATTAAAATTTTTCACTAATTATATTATTTTGATCAATAAGTTTTAATGAATCAATAATTATAGGAGGCCAATTTATACTTTGTGTATTATAAATCAAAATAATTTTGCCACTGGAGATGAAAATGGAACTGTAAATTGTAACTAGTTTATAATATTTTCTATTAAAATATTGTCTTAAGATTGTGAGATTTATTAATAATGTAATTTTAAACTTTACAGTATGGGATTTGAGGCAGCGAAATTTGGAACCTGTATTTTCTTTGAAAGAGTGTGATGACTATATAAATGGTATGCTTGCTAATGACGAAGAAAAATTTTTAGTTTGTACTAGTGGCGATGGTACTTTAACAACGTTTGATATGAGAGCTAAGAAAATGCATTGTAAAGTAAGTATTTTATTGGTTTTTATTGAAATCTTTTCATTAGTTGAGAATATGTTCTTACTATTTTTATAATAAATCAGACTGAAGATTATCCTGAGGAGTTCACATGCCTGGGATTGTTTAAACGAGGTAGAAAAATTGTAACTTGTGGTAACAAAGGCAATATGTACCTCTTTAATTGGGGAGAATTTGGTCTTCACACAGATAAAATATTATGTAAAAATAACTTATCTATAAATTGTATGATTCCTATAACGGAAACCATTGGGATTTATGGTTGTGAAGATGGATACATAAGGTGATTTCATTACATACCAAGCTCTGTTTAACATTATATTAAATTTACTAACTCGAAATCAATAATTTTTTATAGAGCCCAAAGCATTTTTCCTGATAAACCATTGGGTGTTGTTGGTCTACACGAAGTGTCTGTTGAAAATCTTGATGTTAATAATGATGGATCAATTATTGCATCATCATCCGGGGAGGGACCTATAAAATTTTGGAACGTAAGCTACCTAGAAGAAATAAATGTTTCAGAACGAGTCAAAGGAGGGAGAAAATCAGGCATGAATCGTAATTTACCAAGTAGTAAAATAGATCATGCAGCCAACTTTTTCGCAGATCTTTAGAGAAACATAACATTAAAAAAAAAAAAATTGTACAGAATAAACTTAATACCAAGTAATAAGTATAAGAAAGAGAACTTTTATATTATTAATGCCAGTTTTATTTTCATTAAGTAAAAACAATTCAATTAAAACAATCAAACAAGTAAATTCGTTCGATCTTATTGTCTCTTTTAGTTACTGTTGGAATTTTCGTTATTGATTTTCATGTGATGTATATTTAGCAGTAGATTACTCTAATGTACTTAATATTTTCAAATTTGTACATAAAAATCTAATACACTTGAAATAACTACACTTAAAATGATGAGCAATAAAATGTTGAATTATTCAAGTAATCTGTATGAATTATTTTAATCGTGTACTTATGAAGTACATGATTAAAAAAAGTATTTTTGAAAATACCAAATACAAGATCTTTTCTGCAATAAGGTTTGAAATTGAAAAATGTATTGAGTAATATACAATAATTATTAAGAAAGTTAATCCTTGTTTTATTTTTGATCTGTCACATGGGACGCACAAGCTTGCCGATACATTCAATAAAAACAATTGACGCGCACTTTAATTGTCTTGAAACGATACTAATGATGGCTTGACGCGTATAATCGAGAGATTATTCAATCTTTTTTCGGCATTTTACCTTAAAAATTATTTTCATACAGATTCATCCCGACATTCATTATTCACTCGAATGACAAGCATACGACTAATAACTAACACATATTTGCTTTCTTTTTAGTCGCTATCATAATATTTACTCACTTTCGAAACGTACTCTCATCGCTTCATGCACACATTTTCTTCGTTTCGAGGTATTCTCCGGTCGATAGTTAACTAAGCGCTGCATTTGATTATGTAAGAGTGACTCTGTTTACACGATGTGCAACAAAAAATGAATGAACAGCGACATATCACAGTACCTTATTACACAAAGCTTTTATGAGTCGTGGATAAAACGCTTATATTTTCGAAGACCAATATAGTGATACACATGTATTTATTTACTATATAACGCGTTATATCTTTTCGCACAAATGTATGTAGAACTAAATTTCAAAAAAAATATCGACTCACTTTAGTAAACAACTGAAATTCCAATTACGTATTTTTCTTCGTTCGTAAACCCACTTTATAGTTATACCCTCGACAATTTTTCACTAAAAATAATTTACATGTATTATTATTGCAAAAATTGGAAGCTACTTTAACACAGCAACGTCTACCCCTCTTTCAGAAAAAGAAAAACATAAGAGAAAAAAAACGTGATAATTTTCTTATCATTTTTCCATAAGTGAATAAAATAATTTACCTATTGCTTGGCTTAAAATTTTTATCCGTAAATAAATCTTATAACAATCCCGAAGATGTTTAAAAACGTAACTTCAAATTAAAAGTAAACAAATAATTCTATGCTGCAAAGTTCATGGTATTTTCCATTTATGTGATTTTAACATTTTGTATATAATTAATAATAGAGCATTATCTACAACGATGCAAGCATAATGGTGATTAATCGCGAATAAAAATGTCGTATGTAAAGATACGAAATGGTATTTTTCATAACATGAACGTAATAATATGTTTTTTCACAAATGTAAATTGGGTTTTTTTACGGTTGACTTTCTGATACATTAAAAATTATAAGTTATATTGTTAAGTTTTATACTGTTAAAATTATTCTAGTTCTTTATAAGACAAAAATATATTTATATGTATTTATATTTATATTCATTTATGTTTCTATATTTCCGTTATTAATAAGGAAAAATAGGAAATAGAAAAAGCTGACAAAAATATTGGTAATGCCCTACAAGTTATTTGTATTGCAGTAAATAATATAAACTCAACGGTGCTAACAAAATTATAAGCATATTATACATTTAAGAAAATTAAGACGATGAAAAAAAATATCAGTTACAAAAGCAATTCGGTTTTACTTCAAGCTTGAACTCAATGTTGATTAACATCATTCAACCATTCAGTGAAAGATGATGTTAAAAAATTAGAAATTTTTGCCATTTCATTTTTCATCGTTTTATATATGATGAAAGCGCCTAAATTGATTCATAAAATAAAGATTGAATTTTATTACATTAGTACTGATATGATAAGAATTCCTTTTCAAAAAAAAAAGTATTGGCGCATGCAACGCTGATTTTATGCACGTCCCCTTATAGTTTTTTGCAAGTACCCTATACAAAGAAATTTTGGCAACAACAATACTCTCTCATGAACTATCCCTTTTTTCTGACTATTTCCAACATTTTTCATCATTCTTCTGTTCACAGTTAATTAATAACATACATACAAACATGACCTGTACATCAAAACCGCATATTTATTTTCACGTATAATTTAATTATGTTATTCTATTTATATAATAATATTCTGTACACACGCAATATTCCTTATATAACATGGATTTCTCAAAAATTAATTATAATGCACGATTACACGTATACTTTTTTATATACATTTTATGAAAAAAGTGTTCAACACCAAGTAACAAATTATACAGCTTTACCAGAATAAACACTCAAATTGATGAAAAATATTCGTTTGTATTTTTTCTTATTATTTTCTTGCTTTGAGTATCTTCGTAATATTTGAATAGATGGAGAAATAAGAAAAATTTAATGCTCATTATTTCTTTTAGAAAAATTTCTTGTTTCAAAACTAGAAAAAAATGTCCGCACTGAACTTAATCGATGATTTTGTGCACTGAATTATGGATTGAAGCTTACAACACATTTTAAATACTAACATTTAAATATTTATCATCGTTTTGTTTTTGATGGCCAAAATTTATTTTAAGAAAATGAAATAGAAATTGAAATCTTTCGAAACTATGGGTGCAAGTCTTACTTATCATGTTATTAATTATATATATACGCAGGAAGTCTATTAATTAATTCCAATAAAATAGTAATTAATATTCGATAATTTTTTTCAATTGAATGATTGTTTTTTTCATCAGTGCAGTACTCAGAAACATTTCATTAAGAATGAAGAAATACAATTTCAATTTTAAAAAGGTAATTATGAAAACGTTGATTATAATGGCAGATAATGAAGTGACAAAAAGTTTCCAAAATCCTTTACGATTTTATATTTATTTCAAGACGCTTTTTTAAGTTTTCTAATCATTCATTATTATGCACATACTTTTATTGTAGTTTAACAATTTAGCATAATTAGTTAAATTAAGTAATCTGATAAAAATGAAAATTTAATGAAGATGAAACTACTTAGAATTAATAATGCGAGGTCCATGAATAAATAAAATTTCAAATAAAAAGTGCTACTACTTTGTATTAATTTATTAATTAAATAATTTGAGTTGCTTATGGCGTGAATCAAGTAAATTGAATTTTCAACGTCGTCACAGCAGTAACAAACCAAATGTAGAACAATTTAGAACTATTGTACATAAAGACAGATCCTTAAAAAATGTAAAATGCCAAAAAACTTGTATTTTATATAACAAATTTTAACATTGCATAGTTTTCAACAAAAGGTATAACCTAACTCGGAATAATTGTAAAATGACATGAATTTCGTTTCTATAAATGAGCACGTATTCTGTTATCAAACATCAGTACGAAATAATTTGATCACAATCACTTAATAAAAATGCTTATTTTGAACAATTTTAATATAATAGTAACTCAATTCTTTATTCAATTTAATAAAAACGCACAAAATGCGGCTAAACGGGGTCATAGAGAATTTTATACTAAAATTAAGAAATCTAAATTTATTAATCATGCGCGCTTAGTTTCTTTATTTCTTGTGTTTTTTTTCTTTTTAATTAAAAGAAAAAAAATAAAAAAACTGAAGATAGGTGAGTAACAACAGAGACACTCCTTTCTTCTAACAATTCTAACATAAATTTTAATTGAGAAAAACAACAAAAAAGAAATGATTTAATTTATATTATCATCAGATATATTAGAGCTTAATACTAAGAAGGTGTCACGAAATAACGACTTTTAACGATGTGCGCCTAGCTCACCCTCTCATCAAAATAACATTTGATATAACTTAATAATTACTTAAACCTTCCCTTGCTAAAATTTTCACTCCTCAATAAGCATTCACTCGACCGAACTGTTTGTTGTTTGAAAAGATTTGCTTGATCGATTTTATTTACATCACATTTTTTGTGTAATACACAGCTGATTGTAGCAAAACTATCAACGTAAATAAACACTTAATCGTCTAATTATTATTTTTTTGAAAAGACAGAAATAACTTATATTTATAACTAAATATATCTATATCAAAATTACTGCGCTTAATTTTACTTGCCAAAATAAACTGCAAATATTTGAACATTATATTATATTTCGTTTGAGATATTAAAGACGTTCAAAAGATAGATTGAGCTATTTTATTTTGAGCCTAGTTAAATCTGTTCATTGATTTCAAACCACTTTGAAAATGCTTACTTTAATCAAAATAATGGCACTTACCCGGAAATTTTAAATTTCAAACTACCGAGTTATCTTAAAGAATTTTTCGCGGTTAATTAAAACATTAATGACTTTTCACGCGAGTCATATAGTTCAAGTTGATTCAAGTGACCTGACAATTGGTTATCTCTAATAAGTGCATACTCATTATAAAATAATGCTTCTTGGACTACAATCCTTTGTAATTAAATGAACAGTCAGGAGAAAGGAAAAAATCCTTTTCTCTATTTATAGTCTTTCCATCTCCCTTAAAGATATATATAGATACACATACGTATATATATTTATATATTTACAGACAATGCACTCCAAGGAATAGCTCTTTATTTCAGCTCAAGTGCAAACTTTTCAAACAACAATCTATACTCAAAATTAAAATTTCTAACTAGCGTAACGATCTCTAAACAATTTTATTCAAGCAGTCAACCACAAGCATAACCATTAGTATTTACGTTGATTTAAAAATTTACTCAATTTATATATTTTTTTATTATGTTAAGCAAGTTGTAAAAATTTATCGATTTCTGCATGCCGGGTTTCACATATTATTCTTAGCGTTTAATTTATTTGCTGAGTATAGAACTAACGCACTGCTGCTCATTTTTTAAAATAAATTAGCGTAGCAATTCGAAAAACTATAATTCTCAAACGACTTTCATTACGAAAAATTAATGATTGTTGGCGTTATCTAGAATAATTCCTGTTTTTTAAGTATTTCAATGCTACTCTAATTGTTCAAACTAGATTGGTTAATTGCCAACGTAGAATATCTTCTGGTATGAAGCAACCCTATTTTGACAATAAATTTAAAATCTCTACTTTTGAACCCTAATCATGATACAAGAGCCACGTTGCATTCGTTCATTTTTTTAAGCTCTTCAATTAGTAGTTCATCCCTCGCGGAGGGAATCTAATAGTATATACACCTGCGCTGGTTACAGTTTTAAAAGGTATTCCTAAGGCCTTTTGTCCATTGATAGCGCTGAAGAGTTCCACAACTTTTGATTTCCGTAATGGCTATTCGAGTCCTCATCACAAACAATCAATCATTTTGTGTTTTTACTTTCTATTAATAGAAGTAACTGGCACGTAACCCCTAATAATGACCGCTGACGCTTCATGCACATAATTGCAAGCACAGTACATCGTTCGAAGGATTATTGAATCTTCTATTTCTTTTAAACATGTGTATCGTATTTTAGAGCGTTTATGCACTCGTTTACCTCCAGAGGTAATAAATCGCATTAACTGGGCTTCATGTTGTAACTTTTTTCCACTTGTAGTATGAATATATTGTTCTATATTACGTTTTTTTCAGAATAAATTACGATCAATTATAATTTTTTTTGCACGCAGTTCAACTGCGCTTTTTCACTTCACAAAGTTTATATGTATTTTTGTCACATCTTAGCTAAATCAGCTGTACTAGCTTCAGATGCATAACAAACAAGGCAGTTTATCGCGTTATGATTAAATGTAAGTAGGAATATATATATTTATATGTATTTATGCATGTGATTGTGTTGTATTGTTGTGTGTAATGTAAAAGCACTTCATTGAATATATGTCTACTTTTTGATAAGTTTTTCTCACTGTCCACTGTAGTAGTATACAGATGATGAATTTTCAGTTTCTCTCAAAATTTCATTCCACGCTAAACAAAAAATTTATAATTAATGTTATAAATTGAACCATAAAAAATACTTTAACTCAAATCTGAAAATTTTACCTGTTCCAACATATTCAACGAGTAAGTCGTGCTGTCTCATTTTGCGATCGTCTATGCATGAGTTAACTTCATCGAACACCGGTGGTACTGGTACTGGTGCTAGAGCAGCTGAATCTGGAGATGAAGTGGGAGTTGACACTGGAGTTGGAACTGGAGCTGATACTGGAGCTGGAGCTGAAGCTGGTAGTGGAGCTGGTACTGCTACTGGTACTGCTACTTGTAATTGTACTGGTAGTGGTAATGTTACTGATTCAGGTGGTATTGCTGGTGCTCCTTGAAGTGGGGGTGGATGCTGAGAAAGTACATATTGTCCTGGCACTCTCATTTGAGGCCCCATGTAAGTCATTGCAGGGACCATTAGCTGGGGAGCTGCCATAGGGTGTAACTGCACAAAATGTTGCATCGGGAATCTCGCATTTATCGAATGTTCATTGTACCCAGGTTGTGGAACTGAAGCTTGAGGTTGTCGAAAGTGTGTTGACGGATTTCTATAATCCGCAGAAACTATGGTTTGAGCCTCTTGTACTTCATCAGAGTGCAAAAGTTGCTCATTTATCTCGAAGCCAAATGTAAGTTCAGAAGTCTCAGGGGGATCAATTCTTTCTTGATTACTGTTCTTCCCAATATCCAAAATGACTTGAAGTCGAGAAGATGACGAAGCAGAATTAGATTTCACAGAGGAAGTTTGAGATGGAACACGAGATTCAAGAGACTTATGTTCTTTGTCCGAATCGCTTGAATAAGAAGGAGGCTTAAATTTTTTGACATCAGAATCAACAATGATCTTTTCGGGTCGACTCATTTGAACCTGCAATAATTATGATAATGTTAGAATTTTATCGTTTATAATAAAAAGTTTAAATTCAACGTAAAATTAGATACCTGTGGGTAACTAGTTTTATTAGAATCTTTAGAACTAAATGGCGATTGTTCCTTTGAACCTTTTGGAAGCCTATCGATTTTGTTGACACGTATGATTTCAGAATCGACTGGCGGTCTGAACTGCTGATGTGACTTTGAACTGCTTGCTATTCGTGATTTTGTTACGTCAGTATTATCGGATGAACCAGTCATTGTAATACCCGTAACTTTTTTCACGTCCTTATCATCCGAGTGCACACCGGATACAAAAGTTTTGGATTCATCTCCAAGAGCTGCATGAGTGGAAGGCTTTTTAGAGTCCCGCGAATCATCACGCGCATATTCTCGCAGATCCGGACCATTATTGCTTTTACGCATTCTCGAGCAGTTATTAGCTTTATAACTGTTGACAATCGAATCTTTCGCATTGCTATCACTACTATCGACATTAGAAAAATCGGATCCAATAACGGTCGAGTTATCAGACGAACACGAAGCAGACGACAGATTTGAGAGAGTTGCTTCACTACTTATCGGACTAGAATTATTGCTCAATTGCGGCTGCTGTTGCTTCTTTGCTTGCTGCTCCTGTAGTTGCATCTTTTCGATATCTTGTACGTACTTGGTTACTTTTTTAATAGAAGCTGCTGTCTTTAACTGATCAGTGACTTTGGACGAGGGCAGTTTTTCAATGCCTGCTGTCATCAGCTGTTGAGCAAATTGATGCTGACGTGCTTTACGCTCGTTTTGTTGTACCTCGTCCAAGCTTGGATAGTCATCATTTTGACTAATTTTCTCGATGTCTGCGCTCGACTTCGACGAAGTCACGGCTGGCCACGTGTTCGAATGCATGGCTGATATGTTCGGAGGTTGATTGGCTGACGATGTCAGCGACGCCATTTTTGCAATGTCAGCGTAGCTAGCTTGTGGCGTATCCGAAGACGAGGACGCAGTTTTTTTTGAGGGTATAGGCAGTGAATGAACCGAGTCTCCGTCGCTGCAGTCAGATTTATCACTGAAACGAAGAAGTGATTCTTAAAAATGTTACATATCATTATTAGAGTTGAAAAACTATGTTCGGAAATGAAAAATTTACCTTGGCGGCATACTGCTGGCTGATTTACGTCTCCTATCAGGCGATAGCTGTCTTCGGTAATCGTTCGGAAAAACTCTATTTCGTTGAAGATACGATCCTGAGCCTCCCAAATTCTGTGCTCTTCCTCCGCTGGAACTTCTGCGTTGCTTCTTAGTTTTCTTCTTTTTATTAGTTACTACATGGAATTCAGTTTCTGCTTCAGGTTCGACGCTGACTTTCTTTACTGAATTACGACGACTATTGTTGCTGTAATCATCGCCAGTGTCATTGCAATATATCGATTGCCCTTCTTCCGTTCCCCAAGATCTGCGGTCGCCTCGAGAATCAACCGCAGTCGTGTCGCCTGTACTTCGTTGTTTGTTACGTCGTATGGCTACAGGGTCTGCGAATCATTAAAATGATCATTTTCAAAGATGGTGCTACTTGTGGTACTAAAATCATAATGTAAAAATCATACTGACCATGCTGACTGGCAGCGTTACTAGCCTCACTGGAAATCGGATTATCCGTGGTTAAGTCTTCAAGCTTAGTTTTAGAAATTTCCTCCAGGGAAATTGTCTTTTGTAGCTTAGCCGGTACTTCTTCCCTCTTAGCGTCCTTATTGTCGCGCGATCTTGACTTCGTACCAGTAGAAGTTTTTATTTTGACAGTGTTATTGCTAGGTTGCTTTCCTTTTTTACTTTTTGTATCTTTATTTTCAATAAAATTTACTAAACTATCAATATCATTATCATCTCTGTGACCCTTAACATCTGCTGCCTTATATACTACGACGTTTTGCTCAACCTTTGGTTTTCTTTTTTTGCGGTCGACGCCTAGGACTGAGTTGCCGTTTTCGTCGAGCGGCTTTTTTTCGACGATAGTGTCCTTCCCTGCGATATGTTGGGCCGTAAATCTAGAAACTGTTTTTACGCCATTAATTTCAAACGTACAAGTCGAAAGAATTGATTAGTCAAAAAAAAAAAAAAAAAAAAAAAAAAAAAAAAAAAAAAAAAAAAAAAAAAAAAAAAAAAAAAAAAAAAAAAAAAAAAAAAAAAAAAAAAAAAAAAAAAAAAAAAAAAAAAAAAAAAAAAAAAAAAAAAAAAAAAAAAAAAAAAAAAAAAAAAAAAAAAAAAAAAAAAAAAAAAAAAAAAAAAAAAAAAAAAAAAAAAAAAAAAAAAAAAAAAAAAAAAAAAAAAAAAAAAAAAAAAAAAAAAAAAAAAAAAAAAAAAAAAAAAAAAAAAAAAAAAAAAAAAAAAAAAAAATTAACCAATGCTTACCAGAAAATTCATTAAAAAATGACATGCGATTATGTTTCGTGCTAAAATTTTGCATGCTATATTGCTATTGCTTACCCATAGAAATATTAGGTTGCGCCCAGTTCATCATCGAGTAAACACTCCCATTTCCAGTCATGACACATGACTTTTTTGCGCTGTTGTAGGAAGAAAAAGGAATAGAACTTCCGCTTCCTTCTAATCCGTTAACATTGACCTTTGACTTCTCCAGTTTAGCGGTATGTTCGCGAAAAGCTTGAAAGTCGAGTGGGTCTATAGGAGGCTGAGGGACGTCGAAGGTGGCACGAGTTATGTACTTGGTGGTTAAATTACGACCTTCAATCAATTTCATTTCAGTTCCTTCATCATCGTGAATTTCCAATGCGTGCTTGGGTAGTCCATATGCGTTTGAAGCATTACGCTCAGCGGAGGAGTACCTCGTCTGAAATATCGATTTTTGAATGTGAAAAAACTTTTTATGATATGGGAATCACTTAATTTTCTTACAATCTGACAATGTCAGTCTGTTTCGTTCAATACAAAAACAGTTGAATACTGAGATGGTTCATTAATTGATAAGGTTATATTTTGTTTAGTAAGGTCAATTTTTAAATAGAAACAATTTATTGAACAGAAAAACTGACAAGCACGCTATGATTATAACTCAAATTTTCAAGTACTCAACAGTTGTGCTAGTGACAGTATAAAAATATTTAGATTTTACAATACATCATACACCCTGAGTCTTTAATCTTTACATAGAAAAATGATCATATAGGCTTTGAAGCCATATAGAACTAATAATTGGAAGACCTAAATTCTTATAGATTTCATTTAATTAATTATGAATGTATCTTATTTCTGGGCAGTTTTCAATGTATCTAATTTGAATCATTTATTTGTATGATTCTTCTATTTTTTTTAATTCTTATTAATTAATACAACGATACAAACCTCATAATCATCCAGAGTCAATACTGGACAACGTGCTACTTTATCTTTTTCTTTATCATTATCTTTATCTTGCTTTGTGTTATCTGGTGGTGAGTTAACGGAATCAAGCATCTCATTTGCTCCAAGCTTACCACTGTTACTGCTTCGATTGTCGCACAATTCACTTTCAATATCACATGAACCACTTAGTTTAGAGTCTTTTTTGTCCTTTTCTTTTTCTTCTTTTTTAGAATAAGAAGTTTTATCCAAAGATTTGGATTTTTCTTTGTTAGTCCAATCGTATAACGATTTTTCTTCAGACAAACCCTTCTGAAATTATACATAATATTTAATACTTTACACCCAACCCAATTCAAAGCAAAAAAAATTATCTTGTTTAAAATCTTTGGAAAGAAATTAAGTTTAAAATAAACTTATTTTGTAGTTCAAGTAACATCAATGTGAATTTAAATAGAAGATAGAAAGCAATAATATTCACCAATTTAAGTCACGAAACAGGATGATTTTTTTACATAACAAACCCTTTATAAACTTTTTACATGTTCATGCCACAGATGTACAACAGAAATACTTTGGTATCTTATAATACAAATACAAATATTTACATTTATAATTTGGTTGATACCAAAAGCAATACAAATACAATTAGTACCCTTTACTTTTTCAGCGTCAAATAATAATTGAATTCAAAACATATAACTAGCAATACACTGACAGCTCTATGTTTTGAATTTGAATTAAATAAAAAAAAAAAAAAAAAGAAATCATGACTTGATTAAGTGCCTTGAAAAATAGAGAATTTCAGTGATTTGACTAACAATCAAATATTATTCAAAGTCTTTTACACAGGCTTGTGTACGGTACAATATGAGATATAATGTGAGATGATGAAGTTTATATACCTTCTTTTCAAAAAGAGAGTCAAAATTAACGAGATTAGTGAGTGTATGGCTGGCGTCGACGTTAGACGGTAACGAGCCGCCTTCGCGCTGTCTAGCCGATACACTTGGTCCCGAGTGTCGTTTCTGCTTTCGCTTGGCGCCACCCGCTAATTGTCCAGGGGCGTTCAGATAAGCTCCAAGACTATCAGCGTCAACTTCTCGTGCCAAATTTTGCAACGAACCACCGTGTGTGATACGTTCAGCGCACGATGATGACGTTGACGAGGTTGACGAATAGTAGCTATCACCGCGACGTTGCCTTCGATGGCTTCGTACGCTTGATGCGCCTGAACGAACGCTACCTCCCAAATTATTTCTTAAAATCCAATGTCCTTCCTGAGGCTCGTCGGCTTCAGCTTCTTGAAGGAGTTCCTACACTCATTTATACGCGTTCAAGTTTTGGTTTTATGTCACATTCATAAAATATCGCAGTGAATTTTTCACAATTAAAAGAAAAACGATGAACTGAACGAAATTATTTTTAAGTAATAAACCCTTTGTTCATTTGAACTTTCAATTTACATCTATGTCTAACTATTTTGGTACTCAAATTTCATATTAGCAATTATAATGTATTTAAAAAATATATCTCAACATTAAATGCAATTATATGATGCAACCATCTTCAATGTTAAACTGATCTTATATTCATAAAAGTGTATTAATTTATCCTTTGTACTTTATTTATAAAATTTTTCTCTTCAATTGTACTTGCAAGATGTAATTGTTATTCGCTATGGTCATGTAGGAACATGACAAATTAATTATTGGTTTGAATAATAAGTTATGGATCGGCAATTTTGAAAAACTCAATGATCATTTTTGAAAATTGTTATTTGTTGATATCGCAACATGCTGCAAATGCATTTTTAGTTATTTTCTTTCTGTAAATTTTGAACGTATTACACAACATGAATTATAAAATACAAGATATTACATAACAGAAAAAAATAACCCTTTCTTAATGAAACAAAGTAAAATTTTTTGAGCTTACTGCTCAGCTCTCATTGTTATCATTTGTTAAAATCATTAGTTTTTATTCTTGTATCTAAGTCTAAGAATTAATTATAATTTAAGAGTTATTTGATAATTCATCTAATATTCAGTGTCTAGATGAAGAAATTTTTATAATTTTCCAATAATTTGATCAATTTGATGCTATGATGCTTGCATTGAGTAACCAAATAAAATAAATTTTCTTTGAATTAGGATACATAACTGTTGAAACAAACTCATCATACTGCCCAGATGAATTTTAGAACTTATACTCAAATATTCAATAATGAAGATCACAGACCACCAAATGAATGATTATTACTCAAAAATATTTTCATTGTTCAAAAAATTTAAATACAAATTGTCACTAGCACAAATATTTCAAATGTAGAAGTTAAAGTTCAAAATGGTATTATTTGTGATAAAAATAGAGGTTTGCGTAAGGATGATCATAAACAAATAATTTTAATTGTCAAAAATTCCTCATTTAATAATGAAGTAGAATAATTTCAATAAACCATTTGGAATATGATAATGATTTTATTTATTTTTCTTCAACACATACAAAGATAAAAAAAATTTCAAAATTAAAGTCATAAGTAATGTTAAGAATTTCAGTTAGTAAACAAAAAATCATAGTCGTAATGGTATGATACTGACAAATACAGAAAATAATCATTACCTTAAATAGACTGGACTTTCCTTCACGATCTTTTGGACATTTGTAAGTTATGGCTTCATCCAACAATGCACGTAGTTCTCCCTCGTTTAAAGTAGATAAGGTTGCAGGTTCCTCCTGTAAATAAAATATTATATTGAAAACTTTAATTTCATTATATGATTGAAGTTTTATTAGAATTAATTGATTTTTCCAGTTTAAACAAAAATCATTTGTCAAAAAAATTGATTGAACACATACATTTGAAAATTATTACTCTGTCGCTTACTACTCTTAGTGTTTGTAAAGCTGTATCTACCAAGAAAATTTTTGTAAATGAAAAGTTGGACCTATAAAAGCATAACAACAAAAACGAATACTCCGACCTAAAACTTTATTTTATAGCAATAAGTTCCTGTTATTCATGTTCATCAAATGTAATTACCACCTTAGTTTTGATAAATCGTTTTGACTTCCTGTAAAAGTTGAGCAAGGTGTTAAAATACTTACACAGCTATTACCAATAAATGGTAGCAGCCATGTTACATTTTTATTTTTTTAATCACTCTGGATAGGTCCTCCACTGCTTGGCAATGAGAAGAAAAGTATATAAAACGAGCGAGCCGTGTAAATCCTCGGTAACTCGTGCATTGCTATACATAACGATGATGATCGTGAGGGGACGCATACACGATTGAGATTAGAGTCGGGGACTGCAGAAGGGGGACGTGTACAAGGAGAAACAAGAGTATATAAACGAGAAAAGAGAGAGAGAGAGAGAGAGACCAGATTAGTCATACAAAAAAGTTGCTCGTGATACGGAGTGATAATGCACTCTCGAGAACGAGCAAGAGAGAGAAAGAGAGAGAGCCGAGGCTGCAAGTATGCGTAAATACACACTCATGTATATATACAATAGCAGACATACGAAGCGAATGTAACACACGTAAAAGTTTCTCTTTCTCTCTGACTGTCTCGTTCTCAGGGAGTGACTATGCGTTTACGAATGTATGCGTGCTGCGAACGATTCAACTTACTCAACTGCACTATGGACGGGTGGTGTATATGTGCACGGCTCGCTGACGACGACGACGACGGAACGGACTCGACATCGACATCGTCGTCAAGGAAAAAAAATCACTAGCACAGCCATCAGCAGCTGTTACGCATAGAAAAGCGACTGGCTCTATGTGTTGGGGTGGAGGAGGAGGCGGAGGAGGAAAATGTGCAGCGAGAGACGACGACTACTCGCACCGCCGGGCACTCCGCGTATACACACATATACCCGAAGAAACAGTGTTTGAGTGTGAAAGCCTATGCGTGTGTATTCTCTCTTATGTATGTGTGCGGAATTTATATATTTTTAGAGGACACCCAGATATCTATGTCTCTCTGATGTGTGTGCGGCTGTACAAGTCCGCCTGTCTGTCGGTCTCTCTCTCTCTTTCTCTCTCTCTTTCTCGTTCTTTCTCTCAGCTTTAGAACACGGACAGGGCGCACGAAATCTCAACAGCCAAGCATTTCTCTCTCGTTCTATTGTCATATGTGTGTACCGCGAATCTAGACAACACTCACACTTATTTTGATGGCTCGTAGCAACAGTACTAGCAGTAGCACTTTATAGCACTAGCGCAGCAAATGCAGCGATTTTCAACTCCGCCCAGCAGAGCCCAATAAAAGCTGCACATAATGAAATTGTCGCCGTTCTGGAAGACGAGGGCCGCACGAATCGGCAAGGCCGCACGGGACGTATCACTACATCGACTGCTGTGTGTATTGTTCAGCTCTATTATTCGAGTGCGGTTGAGTGTAGGCAGCTATTCTGCACTCACACTGGCACGCGACTGTCGACAACGACGGCGACGACGACGACGACCGCGATAATTGGCAGCGGACGAGCGACTGCCACCTATGTAAACGTGCTCTGCTTCTCGACAGGCAGCCGAGCCGCGCACTAGGCGCCTACTATCGGCAACGCAGGAGCAGAGCAAAAGTGTATTATAGGCGGTATCCGACACAACATCGACAACCATACGCGCCACTTATGATATACATGTGTGCGATATATACCTACACGAATAACAAAAACGACGATGACGATACAGTGGTCAAAGTCCACTCACTCGACGAACGAAATCGCACACAACAATACACGCACAAGCACACACAATTACGAAGATGTATCTATATATTCAACGGGGCACTTTTTTCGACGACGACGAAAACGACGACGACGACGGCTCGAGACTAGTCTTCTTTTGGCACACTTGTTAGCTTCGACTTTAATAGACTTGTGTTACCCTTGCTATTACTGTTTCTCGAGTGGAGACAATCTAACTTAGAGTTTTTTTGTTTATAACAATTATGTATTGGGCAATACAAAAAAAAATCAACAACAAAAAATGAAAAAAAAATTGTGAAAACACACACAGAACACTCGATGAACGAAGACTGTAAGTATATCACACACTCCTGCAGAGAACCACAGAAGAAAACGACAACGATATGCTTATTGGCAGCTGCTGCTGCTGCTGCTATTGCTCTGTTGCCGTACGGTATGCGTGTGTGCGTGTGTGTACAAATTTTTCTCTGTATAAAATTCTCCGTGTGTATACATATCGGAAAAGAGAAAATACGAATATACACTAGGATATACACATAGCTACATAAGGCACTCGGCTTAGGTGTGTGAATGTGTGCGCGCCCGACTCGCTGCCATGTATATAATTCGCGAGCAATAGTAAATTATTTATGTGTATAAGTAGCTCCACAGATGTATACACACTTATCTACGAGATTATTAATATATGTGTGTACTGGTGGTGTCCGAAGCTACGCGTTTGTCTGTATGTGTTGTTTATATGAAATACATATAGAGTGCGAAATAGCACTATCGTTATAATATACCCAAGTCGGAAGCAACGTAGCAGTAGGCACTAGGCAGTAGTAGCCGCTCGAGGAGAGGCAGGCAAAAGCAGCAGCGCGTCGCCGTCGCCACGGCCGCTCTGCGCGAAAGATATATATAAGGTAAGTATTAACCAGCGCCGGGTTTTGTGCTCTGCTGCTGTTGCCGTGTATACTGCTGCTGCTGCGCGCCAATGTCGCTCAACAGCAGCAGCAGCAGCAGCAGCAGCAGCCGCTTACACACAAACACACATACCTATACTCGCATAAGCGCTAAATACAGTTCGAATATAGGCGCGTCGAAAAGAGACGGCAAATTTTCGCCTGCATGGACAACGAAGTTGGTGGGGTGAGAACGAGAGAGAGAGAGAGACGACCAGCACACTGACATACAGCAATAGAAAACAGCAGCAGCCAATGTGCATACATATATGCGTAACACGAGTAACTCATAGAGCGTGTGTTGGAGCTTGATGCATATAATACGCACGCAGACCTATTTGTGTGCGTGAGTGTACATGTATATACCGTGTACGCCAATACACTGAAAGCCTCGTTGTAATCGCGGTGCCGTACGAGAGTGTATAGTAAGCAAGCTCGAGACGACGAGTGTACAACCGACAACTTATGCGTGTATTACTACGTTATGCTCGATGCGACTTCGACTACTCACTTCTCGACTCTTGACTCGGTGTGTACGAGTGCGTGTGCGAAGGTGCACATACACACGAACGCGCCTCTTTAATAATGCCTGCGTATACACCTATTACGCATTCCTGCTTTAACCGAGTCGAGGTGAAGCTCGATATATATAGCAAACTTGACGGCAAAGCGAGTCGTGTATGTCGCCTATATACACGTTTCTCTGACTCGCGTCGCCATTGCAATCCCGAAGTTGAGATTATGATATACCGAACAAAATCGGCCGAGTATATACAAGAATTCGAACGAGAAGCGTAACTGAATCCGACCAGCAAAGGGAAGAAGTAGAAACTCATTGAAAAGGATCTGTTGAAAAACTCCGGGTCACTGGGTTTATGCGTCTGTCAGACAGCCGCTTATACACGCATACAAAAATACCGAGTTCGCGCCTGATGAATGACTTGGCGGATTTTCGCTCTCTCTCTCTCTCTCTCTCTCTTTCTCTCTCTCTTTCTCGTATACGCGAACAAATTGAACGCAAGAGCTAATGTGCTGTATGCAAGAGACTCTGCCAGGACTTTTTGCTGCATGGCCCGATCGGCGATATTTTACCGTCTTATAACAAGTACGGTTATTGAAGTTACTTCGTGCTCGATCCAAATCTGCTACGAAACGATATATTGGTTCGATTAAATAAAAAACGTATAAACATGTTCAAAACGACGCAAGTTTTTAAGTGCGAAACAAACGACGATGAGGAAGGCTCTCGGGACGACCTCGAGAGCTCAGAAAAGATCTTCGTGCACGCGCACGCGAGCGCACTCAAGCACGCGCGCAACAACTCAAATAGAAATAGAGATATCAACGCGCTCAAAAACGAGCAGATGAGTTAAGTTATAATCGCAGCTGATAGTTGATGACGTTGATAGAAAACATATCAATTCTTTTTTCGGAGTATCAAAATTAATGGACCGAGCGAGGAGATCTTCGCTTCGGAGGAATTGTAAAATCGAGTTCTGCGATGGCAGTGATCGATGAACGATCGTGCAGATTTGTTGCAAATGATTCACACATATTCACTTCAGCGCGAGCTTTTTTCAAAAGAACAAATTTTCAAAGAACTTACAACGTATACGCAGCGAGCGAAATTGATACATAAAAAAGCTTCTCGTTTTCGGAGCGTCGCGAACTTTAAAGCCGTTCGTTTGCATCGTAATTTATATACAATATGAGACCCGTGGATTGCGACCAATATCAGAATGTGGTAAAAAGATATGACGTGAGTGAGAGAGAGACGAGATCTGTTTCCGGGCGAGATGCGGTAGCGATAGTACTCACAGAGTGAGCGAGCAAAAAAATGATAAATTTTTGATTATCGTGCTCGAGAGCCCGAACAATGGCTCGCAACGCAGCTGGCGCGGTTCGTAAATTGAAAAACATGTATGGAGCTGTCACATAGTCAAGCGAATGGTCTAGCGTAAGCATGAGTTACGACTCCATCATTTGCTTTTATTGTTTCGATATATATGTACATTGACACGAATGTTTTATCGTTCCGATCATCGATTGACACACGATAATGGCGTTTAAGACTTACAATAGTAATCGTCTAATAAGGTTACGATTATTCGATAAATTGCTCTTAATTTCCAAAAAGCTCTATTGATTCAAGAGTCGTTGAATGCACAATTGTCACTGTTTAAAATCTAATCGCGAGTCCTCGATCACTAGTAAGCTTCTATTCGAGAGCTCGATAGATCTTTAAATTAAGGTGTAATCCTTAGGTAAATAAGTGTAATGAGTCGAAAAATTAAACGCGATTCATTGTCAAGCAAACAAAATACTAATGAAGGAGATCCAAAAAGAGTCGGTATTAATTCGTACGATAATTGTGCTCAAATGGCAAATAGTTAAAACGTCAAAACAAAAAGTTTCGATAACACGTGCAAATATACACAGACGACACGGAGCGAAGAAGAGCTTGCGCTCGCAAGTTTGACTTATCTGTACAAAGAACTACAAATCCGCGAAACGAGCAGGACCTGAAAAAAAAGCCGAGAGAGACGGTCGTCGGTCACCTGCTTGTTATCGACGAGGGCGGTATTGTTGAGGGTCGGTAGCTCGTTGTCCTGCTGGGACGACTCGACGACGGCACAGACGTCGGCCTCGGCCGTAATCTTGGGCAAGATAAACACTTGTCGAGGGTTGGCGCCTCCAGACAACTGCTGGGCCAGCGACGCTTTTTCCGTGTCGTTGCTGCAGGAATTATTGGTCGAGTCGCCGCTGCCGCCGTTGTTGCTGGCCTTGTTGTTGCTGCTCTCGCTGCTGCTGTCCGGGCGCTGCAGCTCCGGTCCTGGTGCCATTTTTGTCCGCGCGCGCCTCGCTCGCACCAGCTGCACTTTCTGCTTGAGGCGATTAGCGTTGGCTTCACCGTGTCGACGTCATGATGCTGCTGCTGCTGCTGTCGTGCAGATTTTTCGCGAACGCCAGCTGACGTGAACCACTACAAAGAACGGAGCATGAACGTCACACGATGCAACACGAGATTATATAGCTCGAGCTATATATATGCAGCCCCGACACTTGCAACAACATACGTTGTTCACTGCACTCGAGCACTGCACGTGCACAATCGTTAGCCCGTAGCTTTCCCGTTTGTTTTTATCTCTTCTTTTTGTTGTTGCAAAAATGCAGTACGCGTGTTTGCAGTGTCGCATACACGATGGACGTCCTAACCTCACTCGATCCTTCTCTCGCAGGCGAAAGAGAGCGACGCTACTGGCAGTACATTGGCACGCAGTCTGGGCCGTCGTCTGCGCGATCGATGCAGAGGCCTTAGACGCACAGTGTATTCACAAGTGTGCAAAGTACTGAGAGCCAGCAGCCGTGGCGTTGTCGATATTTACTCGTGTACACAACAGACGTCTCTCACGCACTGCACAAAGACGAGAGGGTCAATTGTTGCACCAACGTATATATCTATATATGCAGGGGATCGGCGCGTCGACTAGACGCTCTGCTGCAAGCATCGAGTCCGTTGAGCGAGCGCGACATCCCCGCGGACTAGCTGACTGACTACCGATATATACAACAAAAAATTACAGTCAAGAGTGGAGTCGCGAGCGCGGCAGCGCAGCAGCAGAAGCGTTTGCGCTGAAATTGCGCGCACGAGCCGGCTGCAGAACGCCAAATGCACAGACGACGACGACGACAAAGGGGGAATTTGAGCCCCGAGGATCAAGCTGCAGTGGAACGGCCTCGAACTGCTAGTGGACGACGACACGTGCCATTAAGCTGCACGAGGTCCTGGCTGCTGCAGGGTGGAGGGACGCGGGCGTACTCCTCCAGCTCGAGAACGTGGGAGGCGATAAGCGCTGCGAGCTGCTACTCATCCAATATGGCCGGCTGCTGCTGCTGCTACTGGCAGTTCGAGGTCGGCCGAGAGTACTGCTGCTGCTGCTGCTGCTGCTGCTGCTGCTTCGCGGCCTCCGCGCCTCGGGCATCCTACGCGCACCGCACACACAACACGCAGCTCTCTCGACGATCGCCGACTCCTAATCGCGTCGCAGCTCGGCGCGTCGCGCACACCTACTAATACGAGTTGCTGCTGCTCTCTGTCACGCGTCGGACTGCGTAGATAACGCAGTACTCACGCAGTCGCGACTCGCGATGATGGAGGAACGCGCGACGGTCCGGGGGCGGACACTACTACTCGGTCCGACTTATCGTCCGGATCCGCGCGCGCGTGCGGGCAGGTGCGTCGTCACACAGCACGGGGCACTCGGTGCGCGCCTGTGGCCCCTGTGTAGCGCGCGCGTGCTCACTGCTCGCTCGCTTTGCAGTTTGCTTTGCTTTGCTTTGCCTTGCTCGCTGCCTCGTCGCGCAATTGCTCGTTGTGTGCGTGCCTGCGTCGTTGCACAGTGCACGGTGCACACGAGCGACGAGAGCCTCTCACTCGCACGCGCTACACCGACGACGACGACGATACTGCAGGCTGTGCTGCTGCCGCATATATATGGGTGTATTATATATAGGTGTATGTATGTATGTACGACTCGGCGCGCACAAACCCCCGAGAGCTGCGGCACTGCGCCTATACGTCTATGTACGTGTATGTATCGATTGCAGACTCGTGCCTTTTGTATTATTATCTGTACACCTTGCTCCGCAACTCCGAGATTTCGCTTGTTTAATTCACAAAGTCGAAGCGACACTTGTGCGGATTTCGAACGATCATGGTCCATCCATGTGCAGCGCGTGCATAATGCAACTCGCGCTCGAGGCTACGGTGACTGCTCGTCTGCACTCGAAAGAAAATTAACAAAAATAAATGAATAATCACTCGCGCACTATTGCAGCTTTACAGTACATGCACTCACAGTATGACGCTCACTCGGATAGTCGATGCACTTGATGTTGCGATCTATATATGTGTTCATATGCGTCTGTCCATGTATATGTTTACATGCACGCACACACACACACGCGCGCGCGCGACCGATGTGCACGCGCGAAAAGAAGCGCGACGAATATCCGTGCGTGCAGCCGAGGCAGATATTGCAGCGCAGCGCGAGCTCCGCTTTAAGCTAAACGCACACTACAGCAGTCTTTGCATCGAGTCGACTCCAGTCTATTTGGTCTGCGCGGGCTGGCGCTGCCTTATATTGCCTAGCCACTAATGCACACTGTCTCGCACACGTACTGCACTGCTGCAGACTACTACAATAGGTATGCCTATCCCATATAGAACGTGCAAGCACCAAGTCGAGCGCTTGTAGTGCATGCTACATAATACTACGAGCGAGCAAAGGTGTCCGCGCCTCGACAGCCCGCACACGCGCACTCACACACATTTTGCGCGGAGTCTCGCTCGCGCTCGCGCCAGTCTCGAGGCAGCGAGCTAATACGGCAAGCACACCGTAGCTTATACCTATATATCTACCGAAGGGGCTGATTTACGCTGCCTTGTGTAGTAGGCTCGCGCGCACGCACAAATGTCTGCATAATTCGTTTTCGCGCGAGTAATGCCAGTCAGCTCCGTGCGTTTGTATGTGTGCATTGCATATAGGTACATAGAATAGCTTGAGCAAATTCGTCTATATATTTGTCGCTCTGCAGAACAGAAAGATATCGTTTTAAATTTAAGCGGCAAAAAGGGCCCAAGCACTGTCTTATTGATACAAGAGTAAGGTACGTTTTTGTCTCTCATATTTAAAACGTTGCCTTTCTGTGGTGACGAGCTTTGCGAGATATAACGGCGCAACTTGACGATTGCGACGAGCTTTTTATGTTTTTTGTTTTCATTAACTTTCATCCAGATCGTAGCTTAATGCTGAGCATACTCAACTGACGGCTACTCGTTTTACGTAATTCATCATGAGATCGGGTGAAACAATTTTATATCAAAACGACTTATCGCGAAAACATATATCAAAATACATCACAGAGCGAGTCATAAATAACGATGAAAGCAGCTCCTGTGTATGCGTCGAAGGTCCTTCGTATATCGAAGTGCAGAATATACCGATCGATAAAGCCTCAGCTCGGTACAAACATAGACCACAGTCGCGCAAGCTGTGTCATCTTGGCGCAGGTGCATCCTGCGATGAGCGTATAACGTATGTACATCATCGCGGACGCGTACAATTCATGCTGCATTATAATTCACGCAATCGAATCGATTGTTTATTTACATAATATACGTACCATTAAATCGCTTCGTCTTAAAATATACGTCAATGATTCCTTCGCCATGCGAGGATTCACCACCACCCATGGATGAGCGCGCCAAAATTAAGCAGTAGAGATCCAATGGAGCAAAGTACAAAGGGAGCCGAGGGCCTTCGCCATTCGCGCTCCAAGGTTAACGGCTGTTGTTGGCTTAGAAAATGAAGGGGTTGACTACGAGAGCCACTAGGGATAATAGCGATCGATGATTTTGACAAAGAATAACCCGATGCCTATTCTGCGAGAGCAACAAGAAACCTAACATCTGGCATTCGACGATTATATGAGAAAATCGATCATTGATTTTTAATACCCACTTACAAAGGCAGATTAGCGACTTCCGCGTCTACATACAACGAACTCGTTTAGCTCGAATAAATGGTATTTTTCGCAGTGATAAACTATTCGTTCAAAATTGACCGTAAAATCCACAAAACGAACACACGCAAAATCGTGTTCCGCTTCACGGAAAAATGGCTGGTCAATAATAATCAAGTACATTTTGTATTCCAGCACGAGCTTTTACTCTCTGTGTGTCAGTGTGTCTGGAGACTTTTTTGCGAGTCGGATGCGCACGCACATAGTCGAACTAGCAGACGAGCTGACGCGTATAATCGAGCACTTCATATACCCGCGCTGCCAGATCGCTTTCGTATACACAATCTCTCTCTGGCAGAGGGGCTTCTTCGTGTCCTTATCGTTCCTAACAAAAAACATCTTTCGAGTGGGTAAGAAGCGTCTCGCAATTGTGATAAACTAACGATAATAGCGATGGTCGATATCTTGAACGAATGAGCTTGAGTTTGATCCAGAAAAGTGTAACTTTTGGACGCGGAGTTTTAATACGTATGCATTATTTGTTCCAGCTACCTTTCTTCGCTTCTGTGTTTGTGATATATATAGGTATACTCGGAGGAAGTGTGACGCAGAGTTTTCCGAGTTGAATTGAATAAATCAAGGGACAAAAGATGACGGAAACCGAGAATATCTTCCTTTTCGTGCCAAACATTATCGGTATGTTTATTAAGTTTATTAGCTTATTAAATCATCTCTTAATCAAATGCTGATTCAGATTTATACAAATTTTAATTTGATTAGTTCTAAGAATATTCGAATATAGAACTACTTTATTTACGTTTCATTTACGGGAACCAATTAAAATTTAGTAAAATCTGATGGTAGACTTAATCAAATGATAAAATAAATGTATTGGTGAGCATTCAGGATATAATAGGTGGGGCATTTGAAGGACTTCATTTATATTGATTCAAGTTTTGTATAGCTATAGTTTTATGTAATACTATTCGTGTACAATGATCACAATTTTTAAAATTTTAAATAAATATTTGTTAAGTGCACTAAATCATTATTTCTCTATTATATTGACAGGTTTTGGAAGAGTTATTTTGGCACTGATATCATTCTATTTCATGCCAACCCATTATGCCATTGCTGCATGGTGTTACATTATCAGTGCTTTATTGGATGCAGTTGATGGGCATGCAGCAAGATACTTCAATCAAGGAACCAAGTTTGGTGGAATGCTTGACCAACTTACTGATAGAGCAGGCACTATGTGTCTCCTCGTAACCCTTGCTCAATTTTATCCAGAATGGACTTTTTGGTTTCAAATAAGCATGACAATTGACATCGTTTGTCATTGGATTTATTTGCACACGTAAGTGGTTTTATTAAAATTTTAAACTTCACTGTATTAATAATAAAACATTATTAATCACTTAAATTAACATACAGGACCGTTTTACAAGGAAAAACAAGCCATAAGTTTATTGATATGGCTGAAAATCCAATCATGAATATATATTACACTAATCGACCAGTTTTATTCTTCATGTGTGCTGGCAATGAAGCATTCTACGCAGCTCTGTACTTATTACATTTTACTGAAGGACCTGTATGTGAGTATCAATAAATGATATTTTTGGTAACAATGAAAAAATTTTAAATATATTTGAAACTACATATTTTAAATTAATAATATTTTTATTTCAGTGATTGGTATAAGTTTATTCAGAGCAGTTGCTTACTTGTCAGCACCTATAGCAATTGTGAAAGCTTTAATATCTATACTCCATGGTTATGTAGCATGCATAAATTTGAGTATAATTGATGTAAAAGAGAGAGAAGCCCTTCGCAAAGCTAAATAAATTATATTTTGAATTGACTTCCAACTTGCTAGTCAAGATAAATGTGATCAGATAATCATATACAAAAAGACTTTGATGTTAACCTATGTTCCAATCAAGTAGTACTGTCAAAATTCTTTTAACAGTATATTCACATATAAAATCTGGTCCTAGAAACAATTGTCTTCACAGTAATTAAAATATATACAATGCAGGTCATTGGTGAATAAAAATTTGACTCTGTAATATTAATATCCATTTCAAAGAATATCTTTTATTTTAAAAGATTTTTTATTTAAAAGATGACAACTAGCAATTATGTTGGTAAAATGTATATTTTTTCAACCTAATGACATTTAGATCAATTACATAAATGCAGAAGTAGTTTCTTTGCAAAAAGAAAAATGCAGTATCATTGTCTGCAAAAGTGAACCTACAAAATTGTTATGTAAGAAGTACTTTCAAAGACTTACTTATATTGATGTATTACAGATAAATGGATCTCAATTTTCAAAACAAATAACCATTCCAAAAGAATGTTTTATTTTATATTTTTCTACCAAATTGTAATACTCAATACAAATATTTGCCAAATGGTTACCAATTAATTATCTTTGAAGTACTTCCAGAAATCTGTAATTTTATTTATGTTGAAGCAGAATATTTTTAAATAGAGAAATTATTTTCATAATTGACCTCAAGAATTACACTTTCACAAATATTGTGAAAAATTACTGTAAATTGAGAAAAATATATTTAATCAGGTCTAACAATATCTTACTTTTATGCTAAATATTTTTTAGCACAACTTATTGATTTTTGTTCATTAACTTTAATTATTGTAGTGTTAAGTATTACTTAATTAGATGTTCCTTCAATCAGAATAAAAATATGCGCTAATTAAACAAGAATTAATTAATTTTTTTAGAAATGAGAAACTGCAGAATTAATTAAAAATTAAAAAAGTTAATTTTGCAAAGTACCATGATATCAAGAAAAGTAAAGTTCAAAGATAAGACGTCGGAAAAAAGGTTTTATAATTACGTCAAAAGAAAATTCACCTGCGTGTGACGGGAAAACAGAAAGCACAAGAGAAAGCAGAGCAATTAATCGCATGTCAGAAATACAGTGTACCATCCTCAATACATTCAACAAGTTAGCCTCCGGGTACTGTTCGTGCTATCTGTCGTTTATACAAATGCGGAACCGTAAAATCGTTCATCATTTGCAACGAGCGCGTGTACATCAATTTTAACATTACGCCTGTAGAAATACTCATGTCAATCGAAGAAAACAAATTACGTAAAGTTGCACATGTCATTACATGACGTTCTGCAAAAAAAAAGAACAATGCTGAAAAAATATCAAGTAAAATCGCGCTCGATTCGGTACGTTCTTTGGTCAAAACCATAAGCTCGATTCAAATTTACTAGTGGTTTTGAATTATAAAGAATAAATAACACACGATTATTAAAAAAATCTATACTAAAAATGCAAGCTTCGACAGAGCTGTTAGCTGATCAGACAAACCTTAACGATCGAACATTAATTTGCATCCATACGTTTATGAATTTTATCTACAATATATGCGTATGAGCATGGATACATAATACAGCAACGGCTCAAAATTCGGCTGCACTGATTCTAGCGATACAATCGCAAAAATCTACCGTCGTAAATGGGATAACCCTATGATCGTTACTAAGCGGGGTGGACTGATCTTCCTTAAGGGTAATTTAATAAAAAATAATAACAACAATAATATCGGCTACTAACCTCAAAATTGAGAATTTTGATGATCGACCGCCACCCTTCTCGCTAGAGATATATCTGCACACAATACACAATCACTGCCACTGCCAGTCATGTTTCAGCGCCAAACGCCATCTTACATATTCAAACATAGCGCAACTTGCACTTGCCTATGCTGCCTACGCGCTGCTGTCAATATAGCCGTATGTACACCTGCGATTTATGGAACGGAACTCGCTGAGTACTACTGCGAGATTACTATTTATAGTTACCATTAAACAATATTAAGTTATAGTCAAAAAAAGTCAACAACAAATAAAACTCATTTTTTGCGAATTGAAACCATAAAAGTCGGCTTAGTGTTTGAAAAAGTGCAGATTATCAACGGTTGTGACAATTGAGAGATTCAAATTTTTGGAACGCGTTACTCCTATTGAATGATCATCGCGTTATCGGTTTACCAGTTGACGCGATCGTTTTTAACGAAATCAAATGTATCGTTTACTTCTAAATACCTCTAATGTCTATAATTCTATAGACGTTTTTTATAATGCGCTAATCGTAATAGTGAAAATATCATTTTTACCGCCAAAAAATCGAATAACGGCTTTGTATCAAATTCAGTGCACTATGCGACGTTCAGCCCACTCGGTGATCGCAGTTACAAGTTATACTTCAAGTGTAAGTTTTATTTACTTGTTTTTTTATGAATGATCAGAATTGTATATGGTTCATAATTTTGTGTGACTAAATACTACCATTGAAAAGGTAACACATTCTATGGCTAATGATACATCAATTTCACAATTTTTGATCTCAAATGACACTATCACACTATTTTTTCTGGAGAATTAATTTTATCTATATTTTTTATGAGGAAAAATATTATAAAGAATAATTAATCTTGAAATGTTTCTGTTCACTTTATTTTCACAATTAGTGACTAACATGCAAATACAAGTTGTTGTATAATTGAATTTTACTCACTCTTGTTTCTATTACTTTATATTCTTTTAATATAAAAGAAATTTATATCATTTATAAAAATGTCTCACCTGTCTTGATTAATGTTCAAACTTTTTGTGCTATAAATCTGCAGGTACCATTTTTGGATTTATATATAAATTTAATTCATTGATTACTAACAAAAATAAGAATATAAAAACTCATCTCTTTTAAGTCATTGAGATTTCAAAAAATATATTTTCAATATTAACTAAACAATAATATGAATCAATTATTCACGTGATACAATTATATTTTTATCTTCATATTGTACATCTGTTCTTGATGGATAAACTGATTTCATATTACCCTCAAGATCAACTATTTTTACTTGCTCAACAAGTAACTCATGATATTTGTCTTGATCATCATTTTGATTTTGGCAACCAAGACCTTGTAAAACCATTTCTCTCAGCAGTTCATCTAGTACTTTCCTATAAAAATTAATGGAGGGCTTATTTACTGGAACTTTAATAGATTTCAAGATATTATTCGTCAAAAGTTAGTGATTGACTTACTTGCAAGTTTGCTGGTTCATTGCGCTAGTTACTTCAACAAACATAGTTGTGGTATTAGCAGACATTTTCGTAATATCACTATTAGTTATAGGAGGAAACGAGATGACTTGATTCTTGCTATCTTCTAAACAAGGGTAAAGTGGTTTTCCTTCTAATAAGTATAAATACTTATGTATTCCAGAATAAACATTACGTTTCTTTTCTCTACGTAAGTTATCTGCTTCAGTTTGAAGTTGCTTGAACAAAGCAGCACCAGAATACGTTTTTGTGCGCATAAGGGGAATAATTTTTACATCATTAGGAGGTTTTGCAGTGTAAGTTAAATCTCCTGAATTAAAAAAATATTTGATAAGAAATCAAGAAATTAATAAGTTAACACTTTTGATAAAAAAATGAAAAATTCATACCTGGAACAAGTAAGTCAAAATCATGAGTAGCCAAAGTTGCAGCATTTCTTTTCTCACAAACTGACTCATGGAGTTTTGTTTGTAACTGAATAAATTTTTTGAATGATTCTTCAGTAAATTTCAAATTTTTAACAATGCAAGCCAAGATATGTGGCCTGACTGATTTAACATGATCTGAGACTTTTATTACAGGAATATTATCAGATACTTTTAAAATGTGTAACTTGTGCGCACATGTCTCAATATCAGAATTGGTATTTTCACATTCTGAACTTTTCCTGCCTTTTTTTCCTTTCTTAGATTTGTTTGTAGCATTACCAGATGAATTACCAACTTTTGAGCAGTGTTGTCTCACATAATCAATGACTTGCTTTGTACGACATTGATCAATCAATTTAGATAGTCTTTTATCTGTGAGACTATTTCCTTTCAGATTCAAATCTTTCAACTTTGAACAATCTGCTAATTCTCCAGGAACAACTAAAAAAGTCATACCTTGATTAATTTCTGAATAATTTTGAAAAAAAAATAATATTCAATAATTACCTGATATTTTATTGTTTCCCAAATCTAGCACTTTCAATACTGGTAAGACACTTATATTAAATGGTATATCTTTGATCAAGTTATCATTCAATTTAATTTCTGACAAGTGAACCAGTTCAGCGTGACAAATGTCTGGAAAAATTTCCAATTTGTTGTGCGACAAGTCAATGACTGAAAGTTTTGTATTCAAAATTTGAGGTGGCAATGAAGTTAGAAGATTAGATCCAAAACTTAATGTTGTCAATGATGGTAAATTAGATAATTCTTCTGGTAGATTTTCTAGCTTGTTTCTTGAACAATCCAAAACTTTGAGTTTACTTAATTTACTTATAGAAGCTGGTAATTTTTTTATTTGATTCGAATGCAAAACCAAGTTGGTGAGATTTTCTAGTTTTCCTATTTCTTCTGGGACTTCTTCGAGGCAAGTATGATCAATATTTAAATAATTAATGCCTTCCAAATTAAAGAGTTCTGGGTCCAGGCCATTAGCAGCAATTTTTTCCGAAATATGATTTCCAGTTAATTTGAGTTCATGCCTGTTTTCTTTCTTGACTTGTGCAATTTCGTGCCACGATTCAGCCATTTCACAAAATAAAATCTGTTAGTTCTGGAGTAGACAAAGGTTTTAATGTTTACCCTGAAAGAATACGGAGGTTAAAGTGACTGAGATGATACCAAATTGATACATGAATTCTTTTGAGAATTGGTCAAGCTGTAAATCATAAGATAAACGAGAAAGCCTACTCATCAATGTTTTATTTGCACAGTAATTTTAAGCATGACACTGATAAGCAATATAGTTTTTTAATACCTTAGTAATAGATGTGCAGTGTTTATTGCGGTAGACTTAGTCAGCGCCGCAATACTGAGCATCTCCCCGTGTTTTGCAATTTTTAGCATCAACTCATCACCGGTTTACCGACAGATGTCGCTAACAGTTTGTATGCTTCGGTCTTTTGCCAATTGCCAAAGGGCTACCGGCTAAGTGTGCGTTAGCGACATGCGACTCGATCTTTACAATTATCCAAAGTTAATCATTTCGAGTAACAAGTATTTTCTAGCTTCCAAAAAGTTACACTTTCAAGTATAACCAAGTTTTGATAAATACCCATGACCAAGCACACGATTAGATTATTTTTTTCGCTATGTCATATCCGCGTAATACTCGATTGCTATGGCAAATGTGCACCAGTAAAATGTAGCTAATTTTCTGTTCTTCCAATTAGCCCTTATATGCAGTAAAATGAAACGTAGTAAATTAGGTTTTTCATACAGTTGAAAAATATTTTTCGTGCATGAAAATTGTCAATATTTGTTGGTATTTAAACAATTTTCCATGCAAGAGGAATAATTTCATGTATACATTGCACCTGAATGGCCTTTTCCCTCGAAAAAAGTATTTTAAAGATTGATGCGTTCATCTTTCTTTAATGATTACTTATAATCCTCCAATGTTTTTCTCTGTTGAACCGTGACATAGAAAGAAAGATAATTGATTTTCTCAATTGAATATTTCAATTTAACTTGCGGAGCACTTAAACTTATTATCCATTTCTTTAGCCATTTTTCTCTCGAAGACTCCTTTTTGTTCCGTAGTGTTTTTCCTACTTTTGTTTACCTCAAAGATTTTCTTACTTTGAGCGAAATAAAAACTTGTGTCTTTCTTTTTGAGCTATCAAAGAAAAATATAAAAGATAGACATTATATAATTGTAGTCTTACTTTTTTATCCGAAAACATTCTTTCAAAGAAACGATTTGCGAGATGAAAATTAATTAAATGTCTAAAACAAAATATTTTCTCGAAGAAGAAATCTTCGACGAGGTAAATCACGAGTCTTCTAGCAGACGCTTTTTATCTATACGACAATAAATATTTGGTAGTGTCTGCGCTACTTGAGCGTCAAAATGTTTGCTTTTCTCCCTCTTTGTCCCAACTTTGGGTAGTAATTACCATACGGAAGTGGCGCGAAGAGAATTTGCAAACCGTTTTATAAATATTCACGTTTTAGTACGATCTCCGTGAATATTTATATTGGCGCGCACAGAGACTACGCCTGAAACCGACAGTGCGCCGACAATTAAGGAAGCACTCTTTTATCAAGCGTTTTTCTCCTTCCTCGGAGAAGAGTGAGCCAAAGTGCCGAGAAAGAGGTAAAAACTATAGACTGACGGATTAGTGTGTCGATCGATCGATTGCGCATACGGACGAAAAAATAATAAGAGCGAAAGAAAAAACACCGAGCTAAGCGGCTATGGAGTAAAACCTCAGTATAATCGCGATATTTTTTTATTATTGTTTGGTTTTTTAATTTTTTATTCATAGCCTCGCAAATCCTTGAATATTAATGCATTTTTTTAAGTTCGTAGCAGAAAATATTCTTTTTACTTCGTGAATGGTTTCCTTTGTACACGTTCGCTTTTCAGTCCTACAAAATCATAGGTAATCAACCTAGAAGTGAAATTATGTTCAATTTTGTATATGAATTGAAGCACTTCTATTTGCTGGTGACAACGTAAACGAATACACCCATAAACTACTTAGATACGAGCTGCGTGGATAAAATTACAAATAACTTGATCGGAATAATCTGAGTGCAAACAAAAAAAGTTTCGAAAAATGTGTCATGTGCGTCGATGGAGAATGCACTTCCTCGATGTGCGATAAACGTCACATTTCGTCGTTACGTTCAAACTGTCAGTCAGTTATAAAATCGAAATAGGACGACACTTGCAACATCGATCGAGTGAATCTGAGAGTTCATCTGGGTGCAAACACGCGTACGTGTGTGTGTGTGTGTGTGTGTGTGTGCGAGTGAGTGTGTACGTATATATATGTGGGCGGTGGTGTTTGCGCCTCGCTGATGTTGCGAGAATTGGCAAAGGTGAGGTCCTCGTGTCCGAGAGCAGCCGTTTCGCTCGCTTGAACGCCCCATACGTTTAGAGCTGTCTTATATAGTCAACTGGTGTGCATTTGGGAAGCTTGCCAACGGTAAGTGTTATATACGTCGGGGCACTCACGAGTAACTACATTTATTTTTTATACCGTATACAGGGATCGATTTCCGAGGGATTCTGCGTCCGCATGATAAACGATGCAGTTAAGGCAACCTTTCGTTGCTGCAACGCGTTTGACCTGTTTTTCTTACAAAAATTTACACTTTTTCACGTTTAACTTGAACTTTTACTTTTGATAAATATTTCGCGACTATTCAAGAATTGGACACTTATTTGAAATTTTTGAAAATCAAATAACTACTCGACCGTTTGAAATAAAAGTGCTCCACACGAAGTAAGTAATAAAGGAGAGAAAAAATGTTTGCACAAGATGAAAAAGTGAAAAAAAATTGACTTCGAACTACGTTGATTGCAGGGTTTGAAATGGAATTCACTCGAATCAACGCGTTGTCAGTTCTGGCAGCGCTTCTATTACTGTCAAATCCGTCGCACTGCCTCGACCGTGAATACCGCCTTTCTAACACCAATCCCTCAGTACTACGGTCCAGTTCGCGTTACAATTTCTTCTCCATCGAAGTTCAGCAGCAGCGAGATCCAAATTGGAAATCCAATCGAGACTACTCGATCGATGCCTCGTTTGAAACCGAGGCTGACGATTATTTAACGAGTCGACTCGCGCAGATGCAAACACGCCGGGCGCTGTTTCGTTTGCCCGACTACGCTGATACGGGCGTAAGAGTGGCGAACTGGCACGAAGACACGGACGCGAATCCCGAGGAACTCGGCGACTACGTCGAAGGCGATATACTCTATCCGCCGACTATGGCTCGCAACGGACTGAAAAGTTTGAGCGCCCGATGGCCCGACGCCGTTGTCCCGTACGCCATCAGTCCTCGTTTCAGTGAGTGATACTTGATCCTTACGCATATAACGTCGAGCTCATAAAACCAACTTGATATTTCAATATCGGCTTACCATAATGTCTCTCTTTGCGCGGAATTATGAATTATTTTATTTTTTCTAAAAAAAACAGCTCCCATTTTAAATGGAAGTATGGTTTGTACTTGGGAAATGTACGTAAATCGCATTTTCCAGTACTTGGACAATTCAATCAATTTTTTAATGAACGTATAACGTTTTCGAGAGCGCTGAATAAGTGAATATTGAACTGAAATTAAGATGTCGTATTATAAATGAAACGAAATATTCGCTGAGATAAAATAATTAAATTGCATCAGACGAAACACAGCGAGGAATCATCTTCGCAGCCATGAATGACTTCCATCAGCAAACGTGCGTCAGATTTAAGCCCTACTCGGGCAAGGAATCGGACTTTTCGAATTTAACAGCTGGAAAAAGCGGCTGCTGGAGCAGCGTCGGTCGAATCGGCGGACGCCAAGACGTCAATCTTCAAGCGCCCAGCTGTGTACAGAAAAAAGGCACGGTCCTGCACGAGCTCATGCACGCGCTCGGATTTCTTCACGAGCACAGCCGCTACGAACGTGACGATTACGTTGAGATCAACTGGAAAAATATAAAATCCGGTAAGTATGTCCTGTGTGAACTTTTTTCTCGTACGAATTTCGTACTCTCGAAATTACAACTTTATGGAATGGAAACGTAGTTATTTATTTGATCGCGTCATATTTTCTTCATTTTGAGTTTTCTCGTAAATCACTCACAGGTAGAGAGACTAATTTTGAAAAGTCAAATCGTAAGGCCACTTTCGCTCTCGGCGTTGGTTACGACTACGGTAGTATTTTGCACTATTCGTCACGTGCATTTTCTCACAACGGAAAACCAACTATAAGGTCCACGGTAAGTTAGATCGAACTGCGGCGGAGTATCTTAAATCTCGTTTCATTTGTAACTATTTTTTTTTCCAGGATCGCGAGGGACTTTTTGGATTTTTCAAGGATTTTTTCAACGTAAAAGAAAAAAAACTAGGACAGCGAGAAGAACTCAGCTCCAAGGACATAAAGAAAATTCGTAAAATGTACAAGTGTTACAGATGATTTATTTTGTAATTTTTTGATAAAATATTTTTCTATAGAATTAATATGATAAACTGTAGATGTTGAATATATATTTACTTAGAAAAATTGTACATATTTCGTAATAAACATTTTAATCATGATTACTATTACTTTTGATATAAACAGTATATCTTATAATTTTAAATAGAAACTAGCAACCGTATTTTTTATAGATATTTTTACAATTTATCTATATTTAATAATTATTATTATATTACACTTATCTTAAGGTAGTAAATTACATTCGTAAAATCTATAATGTTCATGAAAATACGGAATTCTCTTTTTGAATTTAAAAATATATATTTTAGCGATGTAAGATAAATTTACTTTTCAACCAATGTTATTATCTGGAAAGTATAAAAACATTAGTCTGTTTCAACTTTAACCTCTTGATATTTTTCCTTATCAGAAGCAGTTGATATACGGAACTTGAGACAGATTTCAATGATAAATTACCTCTCTAAAGGCAAAATTTGATTTATGACAATTATAGACGTGACTTTTGTGTCATTTCTAAAGTACATGATCATATTCTCACAAGCAATAGAAAAGAAATCATTTGTCTTCCATTCATCATTAAATATCTTGCATGTAATATGAATTCAGTGCCATTATAGATACATTATTCTCTTAAAAATAGGCTTGGAGCCAATAAACAGGGCTTACTCTGTCTGGTTGAGCTTTTTATTGGAAATCGAAGAGCACCAGTAGCACTTGAGCGATAAAAAATGCAATTTCTTACATTGTCATTTTTTCGCAGTTTTAAGAGAAATCTGATCATCATGCAAAATGGTAAACGAGCAACATGAATATATTAAAAAAATCAAAGTAGTAATCGAAATTGCATCAGTGAGGAAAGCTTCTTTCAGTTCAGCCTTGATACGAGTATTTTATTATGAATTTACAACATAAATTCGCAATAAAATTTATCTATTCGTAACTGTATTAATAGTGTATTTGAAATGGTAACATTTGATTGTGGCATGTAAAAGTGAATGGTGCGCATTTGACGAGAGCTCGTAATTTTATATATTGGAATACGGCAGTTATAAATGTTAACGAGCTGCGCGGCAAAATTTTTCGAGCATTGCAAGTATGACGAAGTACTTGCATTGTACGATACACGCAGGCACGAAGTAAAATTATCGACGCAGATTCAACATTTTTCACCGAATGCGGCTTTTTCACTTTTGCGTATATGTAGTTCAAAATTGCACTCCTACACTGGAAAAGAAGTTACTCGGATAAAAACTTGGGATTTTTACGTCTGGTTTCACGTTTTTTTACTTCAATCGATGGTTTATCAGTATCAGATAATCGTTACGATGTCTGTATTTCACGTAGCGAAGTGTAAGCCAGAATGCAGAGTTGCTCGCGATATGCTTTCGATTCGTACGCGCGATACATGTGCGGTATAAAATAGGTCAAACTATTTGAAAAGGTATTTTTTCTCTCTCTCTCTCTCTCTCTGTTTCTCTCAATTTTATGTATACGTACAGCCGCGCAATCGTAGAATGTGTTTTCGTGTGCGTGTTTGTGTATGTGTGTGAGCGAACGAACAAACGCACGAGTTGACACGCGCATTTTACCATTGATCGATCATTTAAACTAAAAAACTAGTATACCCTTTTGCTGATGCATGCATGGCTGCTCCGTCTCTCTGTCTTTCTCTCTCTCAAACGAGCCACGTCCTCTTGATAAAATCAGCCGCTCGCTCGCCGATCATGATGGCCGGTGCGTTGGTGTTGCCCGAGGGTACGCGCGGCATGATGCTCGTGTCGGCCACCCTGACGTTCTGCACGCCTCGGACGCGCAACTGATGATCCACCACCGACAACGGATCGTCAGCCGGGCCCATCTTGCAGGATCCGGCCTGGTGGTTCTCCGGCGCGGTGTCGTGCTTGATGGCGCACTCCCAGTAAGCGTCGCAGCCGAATTTCAGGTGCTCGCAATTCTTCACCGGCGTCCGATCGAGCTCGAAGCCATACCTATTGTACAAACAAGTTTGCAATGAACAGAAAAGCCTTCGGAGATGCGCGTCGAGAGCAAAAGTTACTAATAAATGGTATTCGAGGAAAATTAGCCCAGATGAGTAGGGGGATGATAATATAAATATCGCTATCAGGATGTTTGCCGTTAAAGTCGTACTTGAATTTAAAAGTTTTACGAGCTCCACGCCAAGTTTATATCAAACTTTCGAAAAGTTTCGCTCCATTAGTATTTGGAGATTCTCTCTCTCCTCCTCCTCCTCCTTCTGCTCCCGCGTATACCTTTGACTAAACAACAAAGGTGAATAGACATCTCGGTGGTTTATCCACCGCCTTCTTGGCTTTGATCAAATAAACACGTTCACGAGAATTATTGGTTTTCGCGCGCGCGCGCTAAGACTCGAGCTCGGAACCACGAGCATTTAAATTCAAATAAGGCGCATAGGATTATAGTATAGTAGCAGCCACGTCTACCGCAGCATACATGTACAACGGCGCTATTCACGGGGAACTTTCAGAATTTTCATCTGGTACATAAATCTTATCGGTTTAGCTCGCGGTATAATACTTGGATGCGGCGAGTCTAATACATATTTCAGAATTACATATATACCACGTCAATATATAGTCGAGGTATCTGTAACCTGCTGCGTGGTCTATATACGTGATGCAGTAGCGAAATACCCGTAGCATTCCGAGTTTCTCCCGGTGAACTTGATAATTTATCTATTCCATATCTACAACTTATACATGCATTGCGAGATAAAAAATGATGATTTTTCCTTACTTTTTCAGAGCCTCGGTCTTGGTGAGCGCGATGCTGAACTTGATGCCCTCGATGAGCGCTCCCACATCGTCCGGATGCGTGAGATACCTGGCGTAGATCAACGGCGGCGACAGCGGATCGTTGTTCCTGAGTCTCAGCACGCCGCGGCTCTTGGGATGCAGCAGCGTCGGTATGATCAGAATGACTCGATTTTTGCCCTTCTTCTCGCCGACCATGCCCGTCTCCGAGCAATCGGCCAGGTAGCCGCCGAAAATCAGCTGGATGTCGGGATGGTCCTCGGTGAGGTCGGCGTACTTGGTGTTGATCATCGCCGTGACCTCCGAGATTCCTGTATAAAATAACGCACGAGATTTAACGCTTATTACCCCGGCCATAATTTGAATGCAACGAATATAAATCATAATCGCGTGAGCGTGTAGCATAGACATACACACACACACACACACACATCGTGTGCACACTGTATCATATACATGTGTGTATATAACGCGTTATATAGAAAGTTTCGCATTACGCGCGGATGTATTTTCATATGGGAAGCACTGCTCTGCTGCAGTGTTCGCCTTGGGCATCGCGTAACAAATTTTACACCCGATAATAAAGTGCCAGAGCCGTAATTACTGCTTCACCTATTCAATTAGCTTTTTAGCCCCGGCGTGCCGAGCACGAGCACGAGCAGCAGCAACGTGTGCGCTTCTTACCTACCTTATATACTGCAGCGTGCGAGGCTGCAGCGCTGATATAGTTGCCCGAGTGATTGTTATATGCCTGCGCCGAACTGTAATAGCGCGAGCGTCGAGGCGCTTTCGCGCGGTAATTGTGCCGCTACGACCGCAGGCCGTTTTATTCGTCGAAATTAAAATTGGCTCTTCAAAAGTGTAGCCCACTGCGTGCGCGAGATGATTTTTCTATTATATCAATGCGTGTGCAGCGAGACTAATCTCTTTCCCGACCATGTATACGGCGAGGTGAGGAGAGAGAGGTGAAAAATTGCGCGCCCCGCTAAATTCGTATTTACGCGCAGGCGTTCTCGTGACGGCCATTTTTTCTCGTTAATCAAGGCCCAGTCGTAATGCGCGCGTATAGCGGATACATGTATACATCGGTGTGTCGTACTAATTAAACGTCGACGGGTGCGCGTGTTCGTGCCGAGTCGCGTACATATCGGTACGTGCAGTAGCGCAGCTGTACGTAGCACGTAGTAGTATAACGTTTTACCGAGCGTTGTACCCCGCGTCCGCGACGCTAAATTCAGTTTATGAGGTCTTCGGCTGTTATATAGCATTCGTCGTCGTCGTCGTCGTCGTTTGCATTTATAATACAATTACATCCCGAAAGTTGCAGTCACAGCATCCAGCAGGGGGAAGGTGGTGGAGGGTCGGGGAGGGCGAATTTACAACTTTATAATATATGCGCAGTTTAAAAGCCGACTTTATATACATGTGCGTGGACTCGTTGTGCATGCCCTCGCGCGCCGACTGTACGAGGCTAAAGTTACAAAAGTAAACAGTTTCCTGGATGTGTGCGCGATATACTACTACGCTCGTGGCGCTCGTCGAGCTTTGGCTAGATTCGTTAACTGCTGCCGCCGCTGCTGTATAAGGGACGAAAGAGAGATGCGTGCGTGATCATAAGGCAAGTCAAATATCTAAAGCAGCGGCAACCAACAGCGCGCGCCTATACGAGCGTAATTTATTCCGTGTACAGGAAGGTTGCCGCGTGTATAATGTTGATTCGAGGCGAGTTTTGTTGTCGCAAGTAGCAAAAATTGTTTCTCGCGCAACGCACTCGTGTATACTCGAGTGTGTGTGCTATGTACAGGCAAGGCCGCCCGAGACCACCATTATTATGCAGCGAATTATGCGTGCGTCGTATTATTCATTATATATATCGTAACTGCACGCGCGTACATAGCCCGCAGAGTTATGAATGAATTAGTCGATAATTTATAGGCGCGCTCGTGTCACCGAGAGTATAGTTGGCACGCAGCTTGACATAAATCTGGAATTACTTCGATATATTCGTGATTAATACTGGCTGGCGAGCGATGGTAACATAGGCGAAAGAGCCCTATTACTCCATTAACGTCAGCGACGTACGCACACTAACGTGCGCGCGCAAGTCCCTTCGGTGTGCACACGCGTGCAGCAAATTCACATCTTTCTCGTTGCGGCGCGACTGCCACTCACCCGCGTATCCCGTAAATACTTAAACGTCACGAGCGTGTACGTATATAAGCTCGTGCCATACACCTACGTAATACGTATGGCTTCAGCTTCTAATGCACTCGTGCTATTATACGATTTGTGGCGGTGGTGGCGGCCTGTACAGAAAAATTGTGCAATCTTGCATATAGGCGTATGGGCAACGCGACGTTCATAAACTATAATATAAAAGCTCCTGGTAGACAGACTTTGTTTCGGTCCACGCGTGGATCCGAGTGCTCTCTTCGCGAGTGCGATTTATATACGTACACGTAAACGCCTGGCTGTGCCAGTCGACGAGAGAGAGAGAGAGAGAGAGCATCGTACACGGTATACCTAAGTCGTTGCACACGCGATCTTTTGTGAAACGTGTTCGTTTACACGTTTCGCTACAGATGCGCGCAATTACTCGCTTCGTGACGCGCGATAATTGTTTTCTTGAGAATTCCGGCGCTATACTCGGCGAGCTTGTAGCGCGTGAGCTTGCGAGAGCTTTATAATCACTGGATGTTGATTTTCATTTACTACCTGCATTCATATACAGCGAGTGGAAAAATTTCCGCGTTTATTATTATTATTCTTTTTTATTATGTAGGATCCAAACGGGCGCTGTCTGACACGCGCGTAAAACGATAACCGACGATCGGTACCTCACTCGATACAAGCGCTCGTAAATAACGTACTTTCAATAATATTTATTAGCAATATCCCATAATTATAGGAGCTAGTGGTCGTAAATTTTTTTCTCAGTAACACAGTTATAAAATAAAATTTCTTGTCAAGTATCGAACGTACGAGCTTTTCTTCAGTCGTTAAAACGTTCCTTTCTTTGAGCCGTAATCTATAAACCCGAGGCCCGTGGGACGATATAAATTTAATTTTTAAAGAGCTGCTATTGCAGGATATATGCATTGGTTGTACGTGTTGAATTAATTTTTTCTACTTTGTATTTTTGTTTTTGTTTGGTGACAACTTATTTCAAATAGATAAATTCTAGTTTTACTCGTTGAAATGAAATTATAATGATTGTTAAAAATAATCACTTTATTTTGAAACATTAAATTAACGATATAAAGGTATTTCATCTATATTTATTTTGAATTCGGTTTTTTTTTTTAAATATTTTTTCGAGCTTCGGGTAAACGATCATTAATAATGAAGTTTATAAACATAAATGCATACTCATACTTTGGGGTCTCAAAAATATTTACGCAACAATGATTTATTTCTTTATTTTCCAATTAAGTATCCACATTTCTCTCAATCAATATTCTGCTAATTTTTCTCCTCGATCTAACGGACTTGCGCAGCTGCCCTGGAGCTAATAGAAGATTATCGAAATGAGGAAGTGATTTCATGTAATTGTATTAAATTATCACTTTCGAATAATGCGTAAAATGTTTCGAGTAATAAGGGATCGTATGAAAAAATAGACAACTGAGTAATAAACATGATTCTACCTCACTAGACGTTCGTCACGCGGATACAATTGCCTTGCCGCATTATATGCCCGGCGAGCGTATACATCGACGTTACGTGCGTCGAGGGGAATAAGCCCGACGAGCGAAAGGGACCGTGAATTGCGTGCGTTAGCCCGAGGAGGTGAGCGGTGAACGACAATAAAATAATGTCACTTTATGCGCGATAATTTCCAGAGGTAGAGACAAAAAAGCAAAAACATTTACGTGACAAAATGACAAGTGCGCGTATGTTCGCTATAAACGAGGCAGTGCGGCAAGTGTATATTTATTTACGTATAAAAACCCACGATCTAATGGTGTTTCTCTTTTCAAAGTTGGTATGTACGCGTCGATCGTTATTATAATGAGCGAAGGCTGTACTGTGCAGGTACGAAAAACAATATCGACGTCGTTATACGCCCCGTGCTATTTCCACGTTCTCGACGTGCGGCTTTTCCGACGAACAAGAATACGGAGGGAAAAAAGCAAGAAGCTTTATAAGAGCCCGAATCGCTCGAGGCTACAATTGAATGGTATTGTAATACTGCAATTGAGATGTGCACGTGCGCGCTCTGCTCAATGAAAAAAGAAAGAAAAATAAAATTATATTTCTCTCGGAGCTTTTGCGCGCACGTCTGTATTTACCCAGGATTAATATTCGAAACAGCATTAAAAATTCTATGCAAATCGTGCATTTCGCGCCAGTCGAATCGTACACGTTTGATGAAAACTCGCGCAGTGAGCTTCAGCTTTCGCATCGAGAGCAGAACTTTACAATTGTTATATTCATCGCAGAAACAAATTTAATTTGGCGAATGAACATATCTCTGTGAAAATATCGATATAGGTGTGTGCACGAGCACGGGTGTGCGTATACGCACGAATAATTTATATACTTAACATGTCGTTAATTATAACTAAGAGTACTCTGGCCCGTATTTATCACGAGGCGCGACGGGCTATGTGCTGCTGCTGCTGCTGCTGCTGCTGCTACCCGCCTAGAGAACAGCTCGAGCGCATGAGCTATACTATAACAATAAACTATACGCGTATATAAGGAAAAACATAATTCCACGTGAAAAGCCCGTACGCTACACTGCGAGCCGTGCGCGTGATATCTTCAATTACTCAGCCAGCGATGCGTAACGAGCTATCAATTTACTTTTTATAGACCTGGAAATTCGACAGAGCTGCCGGGAAAGGCGGGTGGTGGTGGCGCAGCGCCACCGTCACGGGATCCGCTGGGAAGGAAAACTCATTTATTACTAAAGATTTAATTTTCGCCAGAGATCGCGCGCGGCCTGCATAATACATGCCTCGTGCACACAGTTGATATGTATATAGCGGACACTGTCGTGGACGAGAGATAACTACGATTGTATAAATGTGCATTTCTATATCGAATTATGCATTCAAACTTCGTCTCGGATAGCTCCTAACGAGCTCCTAACTCGAGCCCGCTGATATTTATAAGATGTTTTTGTACTTTTTTCGCTTCCCCTTTTAAAAAAATTTGTTGTAAGTTTTTCAATGCCCATAATGGATCGTGCACAGCCCAGGCCAATGCATCGTAAATTATTAGCTATAGAGCGTTTTAGCGGTGCGGGCAAAAAGTTGTGTCGAATACTTTTTTGCTACTTCACGGTGGCGCGTTCTTGCTGCTGCTCCGGCAAGGCCAATTTACTGCGGAACGACCACAAAAACATGCTAATATTGCCGGCCCGTTGGCTTTATGCACATCGCCGTCCTCATCTCTTGAACGATCAGAAAAAAGCTACGTAAAAGTACTATACATAAATACATATAGAGCCATAACTCGTGTACTGCGAGGTTTCTTTTATAATGCAAAAAACTGCTCGAGTTCGACGGGAAAAATCGCGCATACACACTCGCGAAATAGTCGAGGATACATTCAGTCGCAGATTCATCTCTGCGATCGCTTTATATACATAAAAATGGTTTCTCACTGTGCGGTGTAGGAGTTGGACGTGCACACACACACACATATATGTACGGCTGCTGTATACAGTAAGCCCAGCTCGTGCACAGCGGCAGATTCTTTACTATACATATAGGTATAGATAGAATACATGCTCATGCGCCCGCAAGTAGTACGCGTACGCAATGATCGAATCGGACGATTCGAGCTGCCGTGTATATGTTTACCCGAAGTAAGAGATGTGGGTGGGTTGTGCACATTGCGCAGCGGTATAGTAGTAGTAGTAGTACTGTGCGGAGGCAACAGCAGCAGCAGCAGCAGCGCTGGAAAGCGCAAGAGCATGTCGGATCAATTGACGGTTACGGGCGGCCGAGCAAACGAGAAAAAGCCTGGAAATCGATGCGCTGTATGTATGGCGTACATAGGGAACGAAAGAGAGAGAGAGAGAGAGAGAAATTGTTACGTATTAAACAGGAGACGTACTGCACACTATATATACTCGCTTTACCGTAGGTACTTTTCGCTCTGTCCCAAATGCATCTATATACGTAATCGCTCTATATGTTATATTCTAGCCAAGCCAAAGCTGCTATTTGTCTTTGTTGGATCACGCTTCTCTTTCGATCTCTGGCGCTGTGTGTTCGGTTTTTTATTTACCTGCCCCCGCGTACACTTACGCACATCGTATTTTTGACATATTTTACCGCTCCTATTCTTTTATGGCACGTGCAGTAACTCAATACTGTACGTTTAAAAAAAATGTCGTAAAATTTGAACATATCTATATCTAATTTCAAATGTAATTTATATTGGTTTGAAGTTTAACAAAAGTTTATCCATACTAGGTGCGTGCGAGTAACCGAAAAAGCTTGTACTCGATTTTTTTCGAGATTTAAAACTTTGTTTTATAAAGCCTACATGCAATCAAATATCAGGTATTCGCGTAATTTATTTCCAAATGTGAAATATCTCCATACAATGTAATTGAATCTTTATCTTTTTCTTTTTATGTTAATCTCTCAAGAATTTTGTAGTGCAACAAAAGATTAATCACGCTAGCTTTTTCGCATGCGATCTCCATAGGGTAGATTAAATATTTAGTCTTGTAAATTCAATAATTTCGTTCTCATATTTTTCGGGCTTATTGTGTAAACGCGGCAAAAATCGGATAAGAAAATTGTGTAGCAGCGACGTGGTCGGTCGAAATGCACTTGCCGCGCGCTTACGTTCGTATTATACAAGGGGAAGGCATGAATTGGTTTTCTCGCTTCGAATTATGTATACATTATGCATACTGTCCTATTCTGCACCTCGTATATAATACCTCTTGACGCTCGCGCGCATACTCGAATATGGCGCGCATTTAGTACAGCGTCTTGCTGCTTTTTCCAATATACATAACTTTTATCGCGCGTACAAGCGCGCCGGAGAGATAATGGTGGTGAGCTTTTGAATTCGTCGTTGTGCGTGATGTATATCGCGTAGAGGGTGAGCAAAAGAAAAGCTTCGCCGCACGAAAATCGATCGATTTTTACTTGGGCGCGCAAGCAAACAGCGTGAATAGAATGCGAAATTCTTCTCTGCCAGCGCGCGCTCGTATATGCGCCATTGCGAGTGTTTTTGAAAGTACCGGATTGACTGGCATAATGGAGTCGAAGCTCGTACCGGCCACCAACTTCAACTTCAGTTAGTCTAATAGAAAAAAGAAAACAACTTTTTTATACCGAACGAATCGGAGCTAGGAAAACTACTAGCATGCCGACAGTTTGTTATATACTTTTGTGCGAGTTTCAAAGAAATGTTTTAATTGATTTAATATGTATAGTCTTGATCAAGAACAAATGACTAGTATGATAAACTAGTGCTTCGATAATTTACTTGAATAAAGACAATTCATGAATTTTATTTACTTCCGCAAACTGTAATACTTTTTCAAAGAAATTTCTTTTTTTGTGGTTTCTTTGTACTTTTTGTTTTTCCAATCAAAGATGTAGAGAATTTTACGTTTTTGATATTTTATTTATGTGTGCATCGAGTTGTAAGATTCTAATGAATTGTATTATATGTTTTTTAGGCCAATGAAAAACAAATATTACAGCTACCTGTTTTAAAATTACATCCCAACGTAAACTGAGTGCTAAACACACACATTATTTCTTGCTCACAAATTACTACTCGACCTTTAGTCTCGCTCAAAGTACACACATCACTCGAGGGAAGCGCGCAACATCGAGAGAAAATTATATACAATAATGCAATGTCGCGTGCAAACTTATGTATAGTTATATATACCATTATATGTGCGACTTACCAGTGCCCGACATGAGGCCGTCCCTGAACAGCAGATATTCCATGGCAGTGGCCCAGTTGAGGGGTGTCGTGTCGGTGTCATTGATCGTGAAGGCGATCGCGTAGGCGACGTGATTGTGGAGATTTTTTCCCACCCCAGGCAAGTCCTGCACCACCGGAACGCCGACGGCGCTCAGCTCCTCTTGCGGTCCAATTCCGCTGTTCAGCAAAATTTGCGGCGAATTCACAGCACCTATTTTCCGATATTTCGTCGTTATTATATAGCCTCGTCAGGTTACCTTCGCTTTCGATTAAATGCGGTGAGGTAAAAGGTTGAACTTGGTTTAAAAAAAAGGATGCGTGAATGATAAAATTAGTTTGATGTAACTTTTATGCATAAAAATTTTACGGATGGTGAAATTTTTTATATGTATGAAAAAAAAATCAAAGAAACATATTTCATTGCTTGATGGAAATTCATGGTGATGGTACACTGGACGAAAAGAAGAAAATAACTTCGGCTAACGATTTTTCGTGCAATTACTCTTGAGAAAATCCACTTATAAGTTTAAATTACGTTTCGAACTTTGCTTGTCGATACTTGTCAAAGCCCAACAACTTCAATTGCCGATAAGAGACTTTTCTCGTGGATGTATCTCGTTAATCTCATAGATGAAACTTGCGCGCTGTAAAATAGTTTTGATGTTCCAGCCTAGTGAGGAAAAAGAGATTCACGATCTGTATGGAGCAAAAAAGTTGGGGCTATTTTTTTGTTCAATAGTCAACCTAAGGGCCGCGTGACCCCTTTATTCCGTGTCTGAGGTGTACATCGCGATAAAGAACAATTAATTACTATAGTGACAATAATATCGATTTTCCGCCCGAAAATAGGTAAAACAAGTATAACGTCGCAATGTCTTTGAAGCTTTACTTATTGCTACTTTAAATAAACTCGGGTTGCCATGCAAGTCGTAGAATACAAGTACTCACCGCCACTGACCACGACCTCTTTGAGCACCGTCACCCTCTGAAGCACGCCGTCGTTCTCGAACTCGACACCCACGGCTTTCTTGTTGCGGTCGAACAAGATCCTCGTGGCGGTGGAATTCAGCATTACGTGGAGATTGCGTCTGTTGCGCGCCGGTCGCAGAAAAGCTCGGGCGGTCGACAGGCGAGATCCGTTGCGCGACGTTGTCTGAGCGATGGCAAAGCCCGTGTGAGTCCTTCCGTTGAGATCGACGGTCTCGTATCCTGCGCGATATTTTTGTTGAAAGTCAAAACTTGAAAATTTTTCAATGACACGCTCAACGAGACTTCGATATTTATTGCAGGCTTACAACTTCCCTACATCTCGTGTAACATGGTATCGAGTATCCTACGGTATCGAATAGACTTCGAATCAATCGATCATTTTGAACGATTGCACGATTGAGAAAAAATAACCAATACAGAAGTTCTCCCGCTTTTATTCCGATTCTTTGGATCCTTATATAAATGCAAATTGGGCTTATAACAATAGCTCTCTCATGTGGAATCGAATAGCTAGGCGCGGAAAAAGTTTCGGAAATCAAATTAAGTACGCTTGGCGACGGTGGCGGCGGCGGTGGTGCACTTCTGCACAGAATGCGATCTCCGCTCGCGCAGGGAAAGAGACACTCGAGCTAATTGGCTGCGAATTATATATTCACGCGCTTGCTTTCTCGGCTCTATAGATGCTTGCAGGGAGGTAAAGTACGTTTTAAACTAACCCATTTCCTTGCCGGCCTGCAGGAGCGCGTGGCTCAGCGGAGGATGATACGGGAACTGCGTGACCGTGAGCGGCCCACCCACGCCGTGATAGCCGTAATCCATGTCGTTGACCTGAAGATTGTCCTCGCTTTTGATGAAGTGGGGCAGCACGTCGTCGTAGGACCAGCCGGGATTGCCGAGCCGCGCCCAATCGTCGTAATCCTTGCGCGAGCCTCGCATGTACGTCATGCCGTTCATTACCGAAGTGCCGCCTAGTACCTATGCACAGATACACAACACACATATATACACCATGACGTAAACCCTCCACACGCACACACTTGTACATGACTCTCTCGTTCCTATGTACGTGTAGCGTGATTACATTTTAAGCCGTTGGAGTGATGGACATGCTCATGCGCTATGGTTTATCAAAGTTACCAAATTTGTCCCGAGTGCATAATTGCAAAGCTTATTTCTAGCTTGAAGGCAACGAATATGTTCGAAACGATGGACCTTTTCATTAACAATTACAATTATAAAACAAAAAATCAAATAAATATATCCATTAGTATGTATAGCTGTTGAAACATTTACTGGATCCATCATATCAGTTGAACTATGATAGTCGGCGAATCAAAGTAAAAAAATGAAAAAAATATTGAGTTTAATTTTGGAAAATGTTATACCTTGCCCCTGGGCCAGTAGCATTGCCGATTGTCCTTGTTCAAACACGCCTCGTTCTCGCTTTCGGTGTTGTACTTCCAGTCAATTTCCGAGCCGAGAAAGTTGAAGAAAAAGGACGGTATCTGCGTTCCGGTAGGCTCGTCCAGACCGGCCTCCAGCAGTAGCACTGAAAATCGATTTTCCTCCGATAGTCTCGAGGCGACCGTCGCACCTGCGCTCCCACCGCCTATCACCACGAAGTCGTACCTGACACAAAAATAATAATATTTACGTTGCGGTGAGTACGCCGTTTTGAATCGATACGTCAGACACTTATGAAAATTGGATAAAAATCGATATCGAATTGGGTGAGATTCACGCAGCGATATTATCATTAACAGTTTTGTCAGGTGTCGTGCTCCGATGCATTTATGTAGTTGCGCGTGCAGTATAACGTGACATCCAATTATAATTGACCAACCGTTAACAAGGGACCTATAAAATGTATAGCTCTCCGATGTCACTACTACACTATACGGTTCCGGCGCACTGCAGTTGGCCGAGTGCGCATAAGACGAGGTTTCGCGTTTCATGTAATTGCCCTTCCTACCCGTTGTGTGGATGGCGCTTCGCTGAGAGAGATATTTAGAAAACAATCAAATTAGCCGGGCGCTGCGAGCTCCTCTATCCGATGCGATTCAATTTGATAATAGGGTACGGCTAATTCAATCAGTTGTCTTGGATAAGACCAGGCTGCTTTCAACGAACAAGTCAAATTAATTGAATTCCCGGGCGAAGAATCGCAACATGCAACTATTTTCCCCGTATATATCTGTATGTACACAATAATTGATTCTCGAGAGTCCAAAGATTGTCGAGGTCAAGCCGCGATATTAATACTCGTAACAATTTAATGTGCTTCATTGATTCATCTGATGCATTTTTAATTATAATCATAATGGGAACGATACACATTGTTGTATTTGAGCTTTTATCGCATGAACATTCATAAATTCAATGCGTATCAGATGCAATCTTCCAATAGCTATTCATTTTCAAATAGTCGATCAAGCGTATTGATTAGTTCCGATTATTTATTATTATGATCGTATTTTTTTGCAGAAAGAAAAAAATTACCGTAGGGTTTCTGCTCCTGCGGCAATAAAGAATTATTCCTATCCGCGCCACTCGCCCGCGATCATCGAATAAAAAATATAATAATGAAAAAAAAAGGACGACCCTCAGTTCTTTACTTTGTTCGCAAGTGCGCAGAATCTCGATCTGGTACATTATACAGCTATTATGATTCAAATGAGAATTCTCAACGTATCCAATTAGACGACGAGTAAAGAGCCGCGGAAAAATATTCCGAACGCCAATACCTACGCCTCGCTCTATCGTGAGAATATTTCTGTGTGCAAAAAAAATGAAAAAAAAATTCGAATCTCTCGAAGCTCTCACGAAGCTAGTGGAATACGATCTTCCTATATACGCACTACTGTTTGAAGGCGTGTGCGGAAAGTATTATATGGTTGATTCTCCTGAAATCTGCTTTTTGCATGTCTATATGCCATATTCTTAAACTAGTGAAGATGAGCCAAAACTGGCTCGGTCATTCATTCAATATTGTTGTATTCTTCATGATAGGACATAAATATTTCAATTTTTTAGGGTCAGTTAAATTTGCCGTGAAGATATACATGCCAAATGTCACCTCCGTGGCATGTCTACATCTCAAAATCAACTCTATTTGCATGTACCATGCATTCTCATTAGCACCTGACCCTATAATAACTATGAGACCAGCTTCTATACATCCAGAGTAAAGTTTAAGTCTATTATAGGGCTTTGAAAAATGTTTTAAAAAAATTTCCCACGCAATTGAAAAATGTCTCGGATTTTAATCATGCTTCTGAATAATTTCAAACATACCGTCTGCTTTGGGTCGCTAACTCATTTTTGATGTCGCTAGATACGTAAATGTCAAGTATTATAGCCCAGCTTTCGATTGGTGTAGGTTGCGGGTTCAAATTTTACATTTTATCGATGCTGCGATAATTATTCTATTGAAAAATTCACGTGTGTCAAAAAAACGGTCACCTCCGTGGACATGAATATCTCGAGCTATGATCATTCTTTTTAACCGCTCGCCCCGTCAAAAGACTCGTTTTTCATGACCACATTTCGGGTTGTGCGGAAAATTTTGTGCGTTTCTTATTTTTCTTACATAGTTGATCAAAGCAGCGATTTGTCACCTCCGTGTGTGTCACCTCCGTAACCGAAAATAGTCGATTTTAAGCATAAAATCGGACATAGTTTTCGTAAAACGAAATCTCAAAGCCCCAGATTCAATAATTATTCATATTTTATGGTTTAAAAAAGGGTAAACTAGTTCGCGCCGTTCAATATGACAAAAAAATTTTCACCATTTTTTCGTTTTCCATACCCGAAAAAGCAGATTTCGGGAGAATCAACCATATATAGAAGAACGAATCCTCTATATATGCCGAGGTGCTTCGGGAAAAGGTTTTTCCTTTGACATTTGACTTTCAGTCATATATAGTTTTTTCCGCTGCTGCTGCCGCCGCGCCTCGAATGTATTATATGCGCTCCGGAATAAAACAGACTTCTGGCTTTCTCCGCGCGCGTTTCTAGCTGCGTACACATACCACTGCAGCAGCGGCAGCAGCAGCAGCAGCTAGCGTACGTGCGATTGCAGATAAAGCGCTGGAAAAGCAGCTTGCGAAGTAAATGGAAGATTCACCCCCTCGACTTTTTACGTTCACTTCAACTCTGTACGTACGCGTAAGAAAAACAAATAAGGAAAAAAGGAGTTCAAAGAAAATAAGGCGCGCCCGCGAAAGCTGTTCGTTGGTTGCCTATCTCGCGCTGTATGTGCGTGCTTGCGCGCAGGCTTATAAAGCTCAACAATATCTACAGAGTCAAGCGCCGCCGCAAAAGCCGACAAAGGCAATCTTCAATTATCCCATAATCCTCTCGTAATCCAAGCATTGAAATAAGCATTCGTTTGCAGTTACACTGCGCACAGCGATTATATACGTAGCGTGTATAATTTCGGGCGGTGGTTGGGGTATTACCTCGACTTCGGTGCCCTGCACGCACTCTGTAGCCAATGTCTGCGCTGGTCTCCGATCGCGCATATATATAGCGCGCAAAAGTACATTGCCACGTGTAAGCAAGTATACATGCGATACGTGGGAAGTAGGAAACTGCTCGTGTAAGCGAACTATAACAGGCCCTAAATCATCTTCTCGTTTACGTGTACTCGTTGGTGTAGGCGCGCAGGGCTAGCGCAACCGAGTACATATACAGCTAATCTATATAACAGCTACCAGCGAGAAAAGCCCTCTCGACGCTGTGTATGCATGGCATATATATTGTGCCGCACGTAGCTAGCAGCAGCATCGAGTACTAACACAATGTGCACTTACGTACACACACACATATATACACTCCTGCGTGTAACTGGCTTACTAGTATCGAACGTGTACATATTCGCGCAAGAGTAAATCTATAATATTGCCACCACCGCGCCACTGCTCGCAGCAGTACCAGAGAGCCATTGGCTTTGATGTTGCGCTATAAATCGAATAATCGCGAAACGCCGCGTGCCGTTTCAAAATATCCCTCTCTCTCTCCCTCTTTCCCTCTAGCTGTCTCTCTCGCGTTCGATCGATTTTCTTTTCCTTTGCACTCGCGCGAAATTTCCCCCCTGGTTGGTAACATATTGTTATTACAGCGGCAGCCGCACATGGCTGATTCCTATATATTTATAAAGCTCCAGGTATTATCTCACTCGCCAGCAACAACAACAACAACAACAGCAGCAGCAGCAGCAGCCAACCAACCCAAAGCCCCGCGAACTCGAATATTACCAACTGGGTTAGCGGCGCGCGTGGACTCACTCGAATATAATCCCTGATATACATATCTCGCGTAATACCTATATACACATGGTATAGCCTATATATAGTACGTGTATACGTTCAGGAGCAACGGCTATTAGTGGGTGTGTACAGATAGCAGCCCGAGATACTTGATGCATTAGAATTGCACGCCGCGTAATCGGCAATTTACACATTCGAAGATCTCTATATCAGAGAATAAATAAAGCGATCGATGCAAATTTATGTCTATTTTGTATTTACACAGCTCCCAACTGCGGTGATGGTGGTGGTGGTGGCGGCCGCGAGGATATATAGCGACGTTGCGAAATGTTATATGAGGAACCCGTCGTGCAGAACTCGTTACGTGAACGCGTCTCTCTCTCTCTCTCTGGCGCGCTCGTCGATTGTATTCGGTATAATTGTCGTGCCTCGTGCGGTGTTACATTATATCGACTATCCCGTCATCCTCGTGCCATGGGCCCCCATTGATATGACCCGAAGATTCGTCTTATTATTCTTCGTTTTAATACATGCATAGCGCAGCGATCGGAAGAAGACTTTTCGTATTGCTCGTTATGTACTGCGCTTGAAAAAAAAAGTAAAAGCAGACACGCGGATGTAGCCGCGCCGCGTGCAGTTTTCGATACACACGCGCGCGCGCGCGCGAATAGTAATATATACGTACGTATACAATATAGCTCTTCGTGTCTTCGCGAGCGATGGATTTACGATGCGTGACATAACTCGCTGCTCTGCATTATTTATATGCCGCACGGTATTCGGGGAGCAGCGGATCGAAACAATCGCAGCTACTGATATATTGCATCGTATATAGCCGGACCGCGTAAAAAAAAATCAACTGCACTCGGCATGATATCAAAGTACAGAAAATTAGGTGCAGCTTTGTCTGCGTATATCGCTATTTAATTACGTGTGTTGGTATAATATTGAGCCAACAATATACCCGTACGTTGTAGCTACCTGTACGCCCATCGGCGAAGCATCGATATAATTGAATATTCCAAGCCACCGACGGCAACACGTACAGAGGGCGGGCCCTCTTGTGCAAAAGCTCAAGCTGACAACCACTTTTTCGAGCTTGAAATGATAAAAGCACTGAAATTTCATTTAAGGAAAAAACAACGCGAATTTTTAGTTACAATTAGTCAGCAGTAGAAAAAATAAAAAAAAAACCATAACGTACCAGAGCGGAATTGCAATGACAACGGTGTGTCATGAAAACGTAATTTATATACCTGCTACCGGGAGGAAACATGAGAACCGAGAGTCCATTTGCGCGTTATGCACCGTAAAAGAGTTAATTACGCTATGGGAAAAGTGATATAGGTAAGTAAAGAGAAAAGTAGAGTAAAGGGAGAAAAGATAGAGAACGAGAGGAGAGAACAAACACGATAAAAAGATGCGGTAGGAACCGTTGAAGACGAGACGATGTTATAACTCTTGGTCCCGGCAGTATGGCTATTATACTCACATTGCAATAACCGTTAAGCCGATCTTCCGCGTTTCATAAACGGAGCAAAAGACAGAGAGCGAGAGAGAAAGAGCAAAATTTCCCTCGGACCTGTAAAAGGCTCGCAAGTAAAAAGCTCAAGCGCCGAAGAGAAAAGAAGCAGACACTGTGTATTTCATATTCTGTCTCCTCTTTACACGTACGCTGGGCGCGCACACAATGCAATAAGCAGTCTCTCATGACAATGGCGATTTTTTCGATAATGGCCTCGTAAACAATAATCCGCCGTATAAATCACTTAGCAGAGGCAGCTCGGCCATCCACGTTATGGCAATTTTTGTGCCTAGGTGAACCAGCGCGCTCACCTGCAGCAGCAGCAACGTCGTCGATGCTTTGTAATCAAGAATATATAACTATGGCAAAGGACTACTCATAGGGTTTGCGGTGCCATTGTATATATATCGAAGCAGGCTATATAGGATGCCGAGTTTGGGTAATTATACACGAGACGACGAGCTAAAGCAAAAGCCATTTGCATGAGTATACACAGCCGTGTACGGGCTCTCTCGCAGCTCTCGCTCTTTATTCGATCGTCAACAAGTACGCGAATAATTGGCCGCCTCGCGATGAAATCCTTGTTGTGTCTTCGTCGTCGCATGGATAATTCATGAGGGTAACTCTCGTTGCCTTTCTCGCTCGATCACGTGCGATATAGCACACACACACACGTTGTTGCGAGTATACAACACGACAACGTTTCGAAAAACAATTTTTTACCAGAAGGGTAGGCTAGGCGTGCAGAGAAAGCAGCGAAAGCTTTCGCGCGCGTGGGTGTTAGCTCCTTCGGTCGTTTCCCGATCACACGGCTTGCGAGTGTTAAGTTGCTTGCGCTTTAACCCGTGCATTTGAAAAATTTACACTTGGAAATTAATCTAATCACGTCGCTTTGTTATCGATAACAGTATTGATTTCCGGAAACCTGATTCAGATTCATAAATGTCCTGACCTAAAAAATGCATACCTTGGATTGACTCTTTTCTGAGCTATTGGCCTATTGCAAGGATCTTCTAGATCACATTGACTTCTTAAAAATACTTCGAGCAGGCCCATGAACAACATGAAAGATGGTCCTCCACATGTCGATGCTAGCGTTGGGCCAGCAATCGACGTCAATGGACAATTGCAACTCATCTGAAAAGCAAAAGGGATATATTTAATTAAATTTAAAATTAATTTGGTGAATTTGTATACAGCTATACACAAGTAATAACATAAGCATAACGATACAAATACGCATTACGTACTGAATTTCAAAATTATCATTCAAATTTCGAATTTGCTGCTGCTATATTAATAATTTAATTCTTTATTACCATTGTAAAAAACTTTTGTGATTAAAATCAAGAGCGAATTAAAAATTGAAGGGCCAGAAAAACAGTAAAATGTGTGCAGACGCGCGCAGTGAACCGTGTTATCATATTGCGATCGCTCTGCGGTAGCAATCGCAGACTTATAGAATCTCGCGTTTGGGTCTGAACAGTTCTATTGCAGTCTCATTCCAGGACAGCTGCTGTAAAAGATGTATTACGTGGGCACTTGTAGCATATGTAACTTAAGATAGACGCAGAGAAAGAGAAAGAAATCAAAGGAGTGTGTCAGAATTACTCGTAAAACACGCAGTGCTGCTACAACACCATTGTAGATGGTACGTATTGCATACTTGCGGTGCAATTGATTTTACGGTTTCGCGCCAGAAAAACTATGAAAAAACTACGAAAGGATGTTGAGACCCTCACGTGTGCTAGATTCTTGTCAAAATTGGGCTGTAAGCGAGTAGAAACCAATGTGTGACAAGGTGAATATGTTGCATTGACAAGAGGAATATAAAATGTGGTTATTAGCAGTAAAACAATGCTTAAACGCAGGATCGACGTTAATTCATCATTTTAATTGCCTTCCAGCATTGATAAAATGTAACTATGTAACGTGCGATAGGCGCATCTATATTCTGTCGCATAAATAATTCTTTTTAGTATCCATAATTTATTTATTATGTATAAAATCTCACGAGAAAGGATATTAGAACGCTCTGGTATCAAAGGATCGATTTTCATCTTCGCGCATAGCCGTGAGCCTATCGGCTCCTTTCCATACGAAATATATATGTAGGATTATACCGCAGCTGAGATTAAAGCCTTGTAACCTTCACTTTCAATGTATAAGTCCCGGCGCGCATACAAAACTTGGATATAAAAATGTTTCGTGTCCCTCTTGGCCTCGTATATATAGCACCGTGTATTGTAGATGCTGAAGCGTGCAGAGGGAAAAAGTTACACATAGAGAAAGCTTATGGAACATTCGGTCGACAAAAAGCCTTTCAGAGATGAAACGAGCGCTCCAGCACTCTTTGGGGCCTGCGAGGCGAATATCCCAATTGTGTAAGCTGCGCAATGTATCAACTTGCTGGAGCTCTTTGGATCGAAGCGCCTTCCTGTACTTCTTGCTAGTATATCACACACCGGAGTGCGTTCGCGTGTCCAAGCGAATTTTATACGTATACAGTCACGAAGTGACGGCGTCGAATATTTATATAAATAATAACGTCATTGAGAAGAAGTTCTATCGAAAACGGTATCAAAACACTCGAACGGCGTGATCGATCGACAAGGTTGCCTTCACTTCCTACATGAGAGCTGTATTCGCTCGATACTCGATTTGATTCATCATTCGAGATGGCTTTTTGAAAATGAATCATTTGTTTCGGACTAAGATTATTAATGGTCCTTTCTTCTAGTGTAATGTCAAAAAGTTTTCGGTATCAAAAATATACTTCGAATCATCTGAGCCTGACGAGTGCTCTGTTAATCACACTCGAGCCGCATAACGAAAACTATCCAGCCATTTTCTGCAGCTTGCACCTGCTCGTTACTCTAATTAGCCATGAAATTATATTACTCCACACCCTGCGCGCGCTCCGGTAATCTGCCTCGCTCGCTCGCTCGCTCACTCGCTGGCTGGCAACCGCTTCGAAATTTCCCAACGTGCACTGTACTGGTATAGGCACTTGCCCTCTCGGCGTATCGAGAGGCTCGATTAAACGGGCCGTCGTATCGTTAAGAGCATAAATGCCGCAAGTATAACAATCGATATTCACGGCGCTCTTTTACGTTTTTTTTTTGTTTTTTTGCTCAACAGCTACGAGATAGCCGGAGCGATTATATGGACGCTATAGGCCATAATGGGATGCATATGGCTGGCGCGAGCCACAATTTTTTATTGAACGCGAAGCCCCGCGCGCTGCTGCTGCTGCTTCGGTGCGCGCGCCCGCGTGAAATATGCGCGCCGCCGATCGTTATAATCATACCCATGAGAATTGCGCAATGCACTTTTACGAGCTGCGTGCGCTTTTTACAATGGCGTAGATGCACTGTCTATCGTGACTTTGAATCATTTTCAATTAGCGCCGATTTCTATTGATTCGCTATGTATCTAAATTAACCACTCATGAACAATCAAATATTATTCGTCAAGAAATGTCTGCTTATAACCAGTCACGAATCCATAATCGTTCATAATATTGTAATGCATATATTTCCCAGCAGCAGTTGAGTTTTCACGTGATACACCGAAAATTATCGTCGACGCGTTTAAGCACGTGCGCGCGCTCGAGCTTTCGTACGTATATATATAGCGAGATCGTTTAACTTTCGACTTAGATTGAACGTCGAAAAGGGTGTTGTAACACGATCGTAGAGACCGTAAGATATTCATTTAATTTTGGGAAATACGCGCAATTTAAAGTTTCGTCTAGCGCACAATATATACTACATCGTACCGTGCAGCATGCGATGTACATATAGCGCAAAATTGATTCAGAGATTTACCGCACCCGTTTGAGCCTGCGGAGCTCGGCTAGCTCGTCAACCTTTCCGCTCTATACCCGAGCAAGTTCATATATATACCTCGTACACGTGCACATACACACACACACATACACATAACAAAGCTAGAAACTGGCTCTCGAGTCTCTTTGATAATCTCGGAGGCTGATGCGCGGTTTTCGACGTGAAACGCCTGCGACTGCGGTGTGCCGTTCGCGAGAGAGAGAGAGAGAGAGAGAGAGCTTAGAAATGCTCGTCGAATTGCTTTGCTCTGGCAAATAGTCATCGAACACATATTGTTAGATTAAAATTTTAATTGGTATTCGGTACGATTTTCTTACTGCGTTAAATGGAGACTTATACTACAGATCGATAAAAATAAAAGTTTGAGTTACTTTGATTCACTTGATGGACGGCATTTTTTACACATTTCTCATCGTTTGTTGCGGTATTTACAACGGAAATAGAAACTCATGCGATAGGTATATGTTTCATAAGGGTGTCAAACGTGCAATGCTCCAATGATGAAAAATTTTTTCCAATCCCTTCTGCTGCACCTGTACAGAGCATGTATACTCCTTTTTTGGCAATGCCGTTGTTATTGTTGGTGCTGCCTATTGTCGTTATTATTATCATTCTAGCCGTGTTTTTATTTTTCGTTTCTCTCTTTGTACCGGTGCAGCCGAACGTTGTGTTGATTTAGCTCGTGCTCGCGTGGGCATGCAAGGCACAAAAAAAGACAGGCCTGATCGACGTTTTAAAGTGGAGTCGTGGATCGAGTTTAAATATTATATATATGGTGCAACAAATTTATAATTATCAAAAGTCTCGCCTGGTTTCACAAGTACTTGTCAGTTTGTCGTGATGCGCATTGTACGTGTGGCTTGACGCAGCCTCGACATTTAAAATCAATCAAATACGGAAAAAAGAACTACGGCGCCTGACATCCTGATCGAAATAGAATTCAATTAGTATTTTAGATGGTACGCGGTGATCTCCACGTTTGTGAGTTGAAAATTTCTCTACGAGGCAAGTCAAAAATATATTTCATCGAAAAAGTTCAGATTTTCATCTGCATAGCCCTCGGCCATGCAACTCATATTCTAGCCGAAAAAAAATGATACACATTCGCGCGTGAAAATTATAAAAGTTTCATAGCGGAAACGACGCATTATGCGCGATGAAAACACGTTTTATGAAGGATGAACAAAAGGAAAAGAAAGTTTATGTGCACTGCTAATGCATGTATTATGATTTTGATGTTACGTCATGCAGCACATACGCGTGAGCTATTATTGTGCGAGTAAACAGTTTGCATTAGAGCTGCTATAGCGGTGTCAGAAGTAAAAAATGACGATCTTTTGATACAGAAGTTACGGTAGTGTGTAATCAACGCTCGCATCTTCGTTGCCGGAGAGCATAATGTCTTCACTCTATAAGTATTTAGAATAACGCGGAGTTTTCAGTAAAATTATATTGCGATTACAAGCAAAAAACTTCAAGGTCTGCAAGACTCATTTACCATCGAGAGCTTTGGCGTCGTTGGACAGGCAATGTACACGATATTAAAAAATCCTCATTAACTTTATATTTTTATTTAGCATCGTAAATCTTTTGAATTTCACCTCACCATACAAACGTAGATGGGTTATCGTATGGGTTATACGAACTTATCACTTTTACAAAATTAATCTCGATGCTTTGACGTGATGTTAACCAGTAACCTATTGAATTTCTGCAATTTTACGACGTAGATATTCTAAAGAAATTATTAATATTGATTGCCGTGTGTTGAGATCGGTTCGTGGCAGGTATATTGGATATTTTTTTAATTTGTAACCGGCATATTTTACACCAGTAATTAAAACATATCGAAGGTTAAAATTTATCTGCCTAGCGTATGTTCGATGCTTTGCAGAATTATGAACATTGGGGCTGATTATTGAACTCTGCACCTTCAGAAAATATTAAGAAAATACAAGTTTTAATGACCAAAAACTATGATGATATTAATTTCATTAATAACATCTTTTTCATTAAACAAGCTTTTATTAGTGTTGTTTTATTGTAGCAGATATATTATGATTGAGAGTAAAGCGTTTGGGACCAGCGCTAAATCTCGAGCCAGCTCCGTGATACTTATGTGACTTTTTTCACATCATTGAAAAAAATCTTCAATTGCAGATTTAATATAAAACCAGACATAAGAGTTAAAATTTTATTCAATATAATTTAACCCGAAGTATTCGTCTTGTGAACTTTTTCACATAAACCGCACAATAAATTTATGAAATTCCGTCATATGCATTA